TCTCTCTCATAGACACACAGTCATGCTCTTTGTGATGGGCTTATGTATTATACAGAAAGTCTGAAGTATGACTTAAAATAACATGACATTTATTAACTTAATAAACTTATTGAGTAAAGGCACTTTTACAGATTTTGGATATATGAAGATGAATAACACATGGTCCCCACCCTTAAAGAAATAAGGTATTGTTTAGAAGTGTAGAAATATATGCCAGAAGTATCTGGAAGATAACAGACAAAAAGGAGAGGAAATAGTTTTATTCCGGGATGCAGGGATGCCTGAAAAGAGCTGAAGATTTTCGAAAGGGAGTTGTTCACTACTTAGGTGGAGTGGGGGTGGGGTCTGGGGGTCAAGGGATGATCAGTCCAGTCCAGAGCATTGTTACCAGGGCCATAGAGGCCTCACAAATCATGATATTGCAAATAGCTTCATATGGCTAATGTGAAGGATATTGTATGTAGGAGTAGGAGGACATGATACTAGAGAGTTTGGGGAGGTTGAATGTTATCCAGAACATTTTTAAATGGTTAATTAATGTTAATAAAATCAGGGAAAGATTATCTGGCAAGGAGGAGAAGGCAAGATTTCAAGTAGGGGGATCAATTTGCAGCTGCTAAAGAAATCTAGGTGGAAGTGACATGGGCCCAGACTCTCAAACTAAGTGATTGAAAATCAAAATGAAAATGAGGAGACTAAAGGTAGAGAATCAGTAAGATACATGTGTGATAAAGGACAGGGAAGAATCAGGGTAAATCCCAGGTAATCTGTTCTGGGGGATTTTAAAAGATGCTGGTGGCCATTTGAGAAGCAGTTGGTTTAAGAGCGAATAATAGTGAGCTTGGTGTTTGAGCATGTTGGTTTGGAGTTGGTGAGAGACATCCAGTAAGATGTGTTCTATAGGTATTTGGACCTGGAGCTCAGAATAGGAGTTTGTCATTAAGGATTGAGAGTAATCATGAGTGAATTTTTTGAAACTATGGGAATAGATGTGATAATTTAGGAATTTAAGAAGTGTTGAGGACAAAGCATGAACATTTTGGAGATGAGTCAGAAAGAAGGTCAAGAAGGAATGGTCTGAAAAAAATTCACTGAACTTGTCAGAGGGCACTGGTTATTATTGTTAATGGGGTTTTAGTAGTGTGCTAAGGGTAAAAGCCATATTGCAGACTAATTTTGTATATTATATTTATATACTGAATTACAGGTTTAGGTATTTTATTAAAATTAAGAAATACATAAAAGATAGAGCCACATTTAGAGGATTAATTAACCAGCCCTTGTATACCTTCTATACAGTTTAAAAAAAAATTTTATTTTAAAATAGTTGTAGACTCTTTGGAAGCTACAAAAATAGTACAGAGAAGTCCTCCTCTATAACCTTCACTTAGCTTCGTCCATTCACTTGTTCAGTTTAACAAATGTCCTGGACTAGTGCAAATGCTAATGTTTGGGATGGATTATGGAACTGTACAGGTAGTGTAAATTTGTATTCTGTACCCCAACATGGTGTAAGCCTGGAATTTTTATTTTCATAGGAGCCTCTCTTTCCCACACTGGGAGCAAGGCAGATGGCAAGCTGCCTTACTGTTTCTCAGGGCATATGGGTGGAGCTTTTCCAGCTTCCTTTTCACATATTGAGCAGCCCGTTTGAGGATCTTGGCTCAAAATAGGGGTTTTACTTGCAGCTCTCCTTGAAATAGGCTCAAAATTAGGTCTATATCTGTAGGTCAGTATCCCCCTAGACTACCTTGGTGTCAGCTGGAATTTTAGGTCTTTTGAATTTCTTCTTTTCTGGCACCTAGAAATCCCCCCAGTTTTTAAAATATGTTTTTATTGAGTTCATAGAGAGGAAGGGAGAGGGAGAGATAGATAGAAACATCAATGATGAGAGGGAGTCATTGATTGGATGCCTCTTGCATGCCCTTTTGGGGACTGAACCTGCAACCAGGACATGTGTCCTGATTGGGAATTGAACTGTGACCTCCTGGTTTGTGGGTTGATGCTTAACCACTGAGCCACAGCACCCTCCCCATTTTTTCTCCTCACCTGAGGATATGTTTATTTATTTATTTTTAAAATATATATTGATTTCAGAGAGAGGAAAGGAGAGGGATAGAGAGATAGAAACATCAATGATGAGAGAGCCATTGATCGGCTGCCTCCTGTACGCCCCCGACTGGGGATCGAGCCAGCAACCTGGGCATGTGCCCTGACCGGGAATCAAACCCTGATCGCCTGGATCCTGGGTCAACGCTCAGCCGCTGAGCCACTCCCGGCCGGGCGAGGATATGTTTATTGATTTTAGAGAAAGAGGAAAGGAGAGAGAGAGACAGAGAAAGAGAGGGAGAGAGAAACATCAATGAGAGAAACATCGATTGTTTGCCTCCCATTTGCACCTCAACTGGGGAATGAACACGCAGCCTTTTGGTGTACAGGAAAATACTCCAACCGAGCTACCAGGCCAGGGCTCCCCTTTTTAAATCTAGCTATACTAATTTTTCATGTTGATTTAGCATTTCAGTGAGTGTATTTGGGCACATGTATATATGAGTCCAGTTTACCTTGTTGCTTGAATCAAAAGTTTAATAAATGATTTCTTAATTTCTTACTTCTTAATTTTATTTTCTGCTTTGTCTACAAAAAGGATTTGAGGTCATTAAAAATATTATTTAGCCCTGGCCAGGTGGTTCAGTTGGTTGGAGCGTCATCCTGAACACCAGAAGGTTGCAGGTTCAGTTCCTGGTCAGGGCACATACCCAGGTTGTGGGTTTGATCCCCAGTCAGGGTGAGTATGGGAGGCAACTGATTGGTGTTTCTCTTTCTCTCTCTCTCCCCGCCTTCCTCTCTCTCTCTCGAATGAGTAATAAAAAACATATCTTCTGGTGAGGATTAAAATATATGTATATGTTATTTATTTTTAAAATGGATTACATGAATGTGGTATGAAATTGGAAAGATAAAAGAGTATACAGGTCTCCCTTTGCCCTGTTCCCTACTTCACCCAGTTTGCCTTCACAGATACAACCAGTTACTAGTCTCTTACATATCCTAGAACTGGACTGTGCATTAGTTTATTCTTTAACAGTAGTTTTAAACTTTAAAATAGTGTGTATAATTTAATTTTATAACCAGTGTTCAGGATTTTTTCATCTGCTTGACAAGTAGCAATTGTAGTTTCTTCTTTTCTGAGAGCTTTTGAGGGAGATTGTTACACTAATTATATGTTACATGTATATTTTTATGTATATGAATGGATTATCTGTGTTTTAATTTTTGTTCACTTCAAAAACCCCTCAGAATGTGACAGAATCTGACAAAATAGTGTAAACTGTTGATTTGAATGTTTTAAGTTATTATGTGGAATATTAAAATAATGGAACATGAGGCCTACTTTTTGGGAGGTAGTGAAAATGATATTTTAAGGTACTGGAATCTTATTAAAACACATTGAGGCTAGCCTTCAGAGTTGTTCTAATTACTAACCAGTAAATGCTATTGTTTACATATGTGCAAAAAGTTGCCCAAAGAAGTGAGGGGGGTCTGTCAAAATTGAAGTCCTCCTTTTTAGGTTCTTTAGCCACTGTGTGTATATACTGTTGATTGCCTAACTGCAGCTTGGTGAAGTGAAATTCAGTGACATAGAAGCCTATGACCTAATATGTTTTCTTCCTTAGATCAACCTCTCCACTTCTCCTACACCTGCACAGTTAATAAGCCGTTCCCAGGCTTCCAGTTCTACCAGCGGCAGTATTACCCAACAGACTATGTTACTAGGGAGTACCTCCCCTACCCTAACTGCAAGCCAAGCTCAAATGTATCTCCGAGCTCAAATGGTAAGATGTGAGCTACCAAATTTTTTTAGTGTTTAAGGACTTAAACACTTAAGACAGATAAAAATGTTTCTTGATTTGATGCAATAAGAGACATTTTTAATATTAAGATTTGTTTAACAGATTTTTATGTGCATGTGCTTAGCTATTGTACATTTATATCATGAAAATTCTTTTAATTGGTAGGCCTTCTTGGTGTATCAAGTAGTAATCAGCAACATTGGGAAGCTGACAGATCCATAACAGAGGAGAGATACTTTTTAATATCAAATTTCATTGATTTCAAACCTTTTTTCACATTTTAACATCTGAAACTGAGATGCATTTTATAATTGATGGCATCTTACAGTTATAATTGGTACTTATAGTGATACATAAAATCATTGTATGTCTTTGACAGATTTGATGAAATAGAAATGTTAAAACTTGGTTGTTAACTATAAATTAGAATTCATATTGTAGCATCTTCTGAAATCTGGATTGGAATTTCTGGTAATTTACCAGATGATTCTTAGCTTTGGTTATTCCCATCTCAAATTTTGCAAGGCGATTTGTGTTCTTAAGCTCACTTTGATCTTTTATTAATACAGGAATGTAAACTTGCCTATTCTGATTTCCTAATTTAACTGTTGAACTTCTTTAAGGAATGCAGAAATTGGCTGACATTTACTTTATTTGATGTCTTTACAGGTAGCTAGGCAAAAACTTTGGCCCTTGCATATATTTATTTACTTTCTTTTTTTGGTCCAGTGAATTGAATATATATCTGGATCCCCAGATCTCCACTAAAGCTACAAAGAAAGTTCCCCATCGTATTTCTGATAGGAAACAGTGACATGACCCACCTTTTATTTACAGATTATTCAGTAGACATTGCCATATTTCTGTTTTTTTCCACTGTAGCTCTTATTTAATTAATAATATCCTTCAGAATTAGGCTGAAACATTTGAAATGATTGTAATTTGACTGTTTGTGACCCCTTGGCAGTTTCATGTGGTTCAAGTTAAATAGAACATTTCTTTAGGTTTAGTGCTTTCAGCTGTTTGCACTGGAAATTAACTTCTCGTGAAAGTTGTACTTCTTTGTTTAATTCACTTAAATTTAATATACTATAAAGAACTGAAGTTTAATTGGTAATTTTAATTTAAACAGGAATGGTTTTTGAGAAACTGAGTAACTCAGTGCTATTTTGAAATAGAGTATTTACACATTCTTGGAAACAACTGTCATAATTTACTAAATTGGATTGGATAATCTCTGAGTGGATTGTATTACCTTTTTAAATTAATGGCATTCTGTTTCAGTATTGAAAAAATCACTTGAAAGAGATCTTGAAAATTAGTAAATAAATCAAGTATGTCCTTTATTATTATTATTATTTTTTTCATGTGAAGCTGTTTTTGCAAGCTGTTTTGTTGTAGAATTTTCACATGTTCTTCTATTTACATTTAGAATGAGTTTTTCTTTACAGATGGTTTTAAAATCAAGAGCAACATAGGTTTGTACTGTAGATCCTATGTAGCTGAGTGAAATATTGTAGTATAGTATATGGTATAGTTATCTTTTGTGGTAAAGAGGACTGAAAAGACTTTTGGGGGTTTCTTTTCATGTTTCTCACTTTAATTTGTATTCAAGAGTAGTGACTATGCTTGTCTATTATAATTTACGTTTTAGGAATCCTGCCACGGTTGTTTTGAGTTGGGAGAAATTTAAGTATAATAGCTTATTTGGGGCAAAATTTGGTGTGAGAATTTCGTATTACTGAAATACATACTCTTTTGAGCACTGATTTATTTTTCTACTCATCAGAATCACACGCTGTTTCAAAAATGTCTATGATTTTTATTTTTTTTAGTTCTCTATTATCAGAAACTTCTCTTTGTCATGTAAAACCTTTTTGCTTAGGAGACAGTCCTAAATTGCATTGTCTTTCTGTCACAAATTTCAGTCTCCCTTGCCTGCTATACATTGTGTGTGAGACATGTTCTTTTGTCTTAGGCTATATATTTTTTTGGTTTTTCTGTCTGTACAGCTGATTTTCACACCCGCTACCACTGTGGCTGCTGTACAGTCTGACATTCCTGTTGTCTCGTCATCATCGTCATCTTCCTGTCAGTCTGCAGCTACTCAGGTGAGCTTGTCTAGCTTCGCAATGTGGTACTTGAGATCTGGATCTTCAGGTTAAAAGATAAACACACTGGTGTTTAAATTACTGATGGTTTTAGTTCTCTTTATCATACATTTCAGATTGAAATTTAATAAAACACAGTAAGAACTTCAAGAAAGTTGTTTTTCTTCTATAGAAATTATAATACCATTAAACACAAATATTTAGGTTATTTTCCATTAGTGAAAATGAGCTTTTGCTATGACATTGTGTTTAGTTCTGTTGTAAAGCAGATTTATTTCTTATTTTGTGAGATGAATTCTTTTGTGTATAAGCAGTTATGTAATAACAGTCAAGATGGATTTTAAGATTAAAAATGAATTAAATTGGGTAAATTTTGAATTTAATAAATAGAATAGAATATTACTTTGTTTGGTACTATGGAAAAAGTGAGCCTTAACTTTCTCCTCACACCATTCACAAAAATAAAATAGCAGTAGAATGTACACCTAAAGGTAGCAGCCAAAAGTATAAAACCTGTAGAAGAAAATATAGGACATAATCCTCACAATTCTAGGGTGGAGAAAGCTTTCTTAGGTCACAAAAAGCACTAACCATAAAAGGAATTAAGTTGGACTTTATCAAAATTAAAAATTGTTCTTTAAAAGACATTGTTACAAAAATGAAGAAGCAAGTCACAGGCTAAGGAAAATATTCACAATACATACATCTGACAGTGGACTTGTGTTCGAAACGTGCCAAGTATGCTTGCAATTGAACTGTTCAGTTAAAATTGGGGAAAAGACTTGAACACTTCACAAAAGAAGATATACAAAAGGTCAACAGCACATGAAAAAATGCTCGCCATAATTCATCATTATAGAAATGCAAATCAAAACCACAGTATCACTAGAATGGCTGAGATGAAGGAGACTGATTTGTGAAAATGTGGAGCAACCATATTCTCATACATTGCTAGTGAGAGTGTAAAGTGGTACAGCCACTTTGGAAAACAGTTTCAGTCCTTATAAAGTTAAACATATGCTTATGTGACCCAGCAGTTTTACTTCTACATGTTTACTGTAAGAGATTTGAAAACAAATTTACATAAAGATATGTAAATGAATGTTCATAGCAGCTCTATTCAGAATAGCCCCAAACTGGAAACAGCCAATGTTCTTTAACTGGTGAATGGAAACAAATAGTGGGATATTACTGTTGGGGGAGAAAGGGACACAAAAAAACTGCTAATGCATCTTAGAAACATCATAATTAGCAAAAGAAGCCAGACACCAGAGAGTACGTACTCTGATTTCATTTACATGAAATTCCAGAACAGACAAAACTAATCTAGAGTGAAAAAAATCAGATTGGTGGTACCAGGGGCAGACAGTGGGGGAGATTGACTTGGAAGGGGCATGAGTGAACTTCCTGGGTGATAGAAATGTCCTATATTTTGATTGGAGTGGTGGTAATATGTTGTATACATATGTCAAAACTCTCTGAACTGGTTCATTTTATTGTATGCAAGTTACACCTCAGTAAAGTTGGTAAAAATGAATTGAGTAAATTTTAAATGAAAACAATTGAGTAGAATATTACTTTGTATGGTACCATTTTAGTATTTTTCCATAGAAGTTAGTATATCTTAGGATCATCCTTTGCTTCTTATTTTTAATTTCAAGAGTCTCAGTCTTCTGGTAAAAAGCAAAAAATGAGATAATAATAATATTCTTTATACTTTTCATAGACCCTCTTATATATTATTGTATTTAATAATAAAGGCTACTTTTAACATATTAGCATATAAAGATGTTGACCAATTAAATTCCAAGTTTTTTCTAATGCGCTCTGGGACCCTCCACAATTCCTGAACTTCGTTGGACTTTAGTTTCCATATTTACAAAATGAGACCAATGAGACCTTTGTCTTTTAACTTTAAGGGTTTTTTTAGCTCTAAGTTTTTAAAATGTCTCTTTGTGAAATGGATTTGTGGAAGTAATGATTTTCCTGTTTTGTTTTTTTTTAAAACCTAGTAGAGCTAGACTATTATCAACTTCCAGAATATTTTGTTTTATTTTTTATTTATATTTTGTTCCAACTGAAATTTTAATTTTTTTACAAGTTGTATACAATAAAACAAGATAAAATAAATTGAAAGCATGCAAAAAAAAAGCACAAATAAAGGCAAGTGGCATGGAGGTAGGAGTGAGGTGGCTATTTAGATTATATGCTTGAAGTCTTGCATGGTGCTTAAGTTCAACTCCCACTTCAGTTATTTAGTAGTTGTATGGCTTTAGACAAGTTGCCAAACATCTCTAACAGGCACATACTTGCCGGGTGGGTTGAAAAGTGAGTAATATGTATGTTTAGTGTCTAGAACATCATAGGCACTCATTAGTACTTTTTTTGCAAGTGGGGGACTAGGAAGATCTGGGTCCAAATTCTGACTTCAGCGGCAGTTGCCAGTTTTGTCACTTGCCAGTTGATTGATTTTGGACAAGTTCATAGTATAGCATAGTGTTTATAAGTTTGGACTCTGAAACCAGACTCTCTGGGTTCAAATACATGCTTTCTCACTTTCCCATTGGATATCCTTAATCTCTTGCCTCGGTTTCAACAGTATAAAATAAAATAAATATTTACAAAATAATTATAATGCTTATTTTATAGGTGGTAGTGAGGATTAAATATGTTAATAAATAAAAAAAATAGAACATTGTTTCATACATAGTTAGCACTCACTAAATGTTAGCTTTTATTATTACCTTTGCTAAGCCTCACTTTCTTCACTGTAAATGAGAAGCGATAGCTCAGAGTTGTTAATAAGGAATAAATGAGACAGTAATCAAAGTACTTAGTATACTGACTGGCACATAAGATATTACATGCCACTAATTACTGTTTTTGTTATATATTGTCTAAAGATGAGTCACAAATGTGGTTCTTAGCTTTGAAGTAGCTAATAGTGAAGAGAGACACAACCATTTAAAAGATTTACAGTTTCCAAGGTAAAAATAAACGAGTTAGGAAAATACAACTAACATGCTCTCTAGAGCACAATCTGTTTTGTGGGTTCTCATGGAGAAAACATCTTACAGTGTCTTTAATAGTATAATGAACATAGTAATTTATAAAAGTGGCTTCAGTTTGATGTGATACAGGTATGACGCTCTGTGATAATCTAACTTAATTCAAGGGTAGACTTTGAGGAGCCTTTAGGAATTTCTCTACAAAAGTTTTTCTCTGCTATGCTTTTGAAATGGCAGTGAAGGAGGCTGGCAGTGGTAAGTGATGCTAATACTTTGAATATTCTAGTGGTAACTTTCTTCAAGTTCAAGGATGTTAGTTTTGGAAAATTTGTGTTCCACTTTGTTAATTTTAAAGCTTATATTTTCAGTTTTTAAAATAATTAGTGTGTAATTAAGAACTACCAAATTTGAAGTTTTATTTTAGTACTCTTTAAGTGATAAAAGTCAACATAACAGTTAATTTTTCCTTAATATTAAAATTTATAGCATATTGTGAAAAAATGAGAAATTTGGAGTATTTTACCCTTATTTACTATTTTATTTTTATTTTTTATTTTTTCTCTTTTTTTTAAAGAAGGAAGGAAGGAAAAAAGAAAAGAGAGAGAGAGCCTTATTAACTATTTTAAATGCTCCATCCTTTTCTCCACAGTGTAAAAAAAATTTTTTTTGGTTAAAAAATTTTTTCAGAAAGCTATCATAGAACTAAAAGTATGTTTATAGAAAAGAAATCTTACTTACCATGGCTATCTGGGGAATGCTGTGAGAAGTGAGAAGAAAACAGCCCTTTGGATTTAAAATCTAGAAATTCAGCTCTGTTGCCAAAAATGTGACATTAACTCTTAGTTTCCTCATCTGCAAAGAAGGGATGCTGCAGCAATTCACACAGTATTTCTTAGATTCAAATCGAAAAATTGGTATGAGAATATTTGGGTAACCCACTGTAAAAATGTAAGGTGTGAATTTAGCAAAAATACTTCACTTGAAATTTAGTCTTCTTCAAAAGTCAGAAAGTTTCCATAATTTGATCATAGGAAAAGTTTAGATGAAATGAAAGTTGGACTTCAGAGTACTCTAATATTCTTTATTTAGAAAGGGTGTGTTCTCTTCAAAAGTGAAGCTCTGTCAATGAAATTTGAATATGTGATCTTCTTATTGATAGCTAAGTTAACTTTGTAATGTACTTTAGAAGTATAGTTTACATGTTTGAAATTTATTGTAATATTTAAGCCAAGATGACCATAGATACGTATTATAGCCATAGTCTAAAGTTTATCTATTCATATAAGTAGTATATGGTATAATATATAATATCAAAAATGAAAATATAACATATATTTTCTTTCAGAATTCCAGAAAACAAAAGGAAAATTAGAAGAAAAGAGTATATTATTTTATAGAAATAGACTTCTGCAGGTTTTAGGGTTCATTGTGTCAAATCTTCATTTACATTGTGAATATATATGCTTTTCATTTGAAGAAAATTTTTTAAATTTTCAAGTTTTTAATGTGTCTCCACTAGATATTTGTTGAGTTTTTTGGTAAAATATGAAAGGAAAACCATAAATAGGACTAAATACAAAAAAAAAAAAAAGAGCCATGTAATATGTATTTCAGAATCAGATACAGAAGAATACTTCCAACTGTGACGTTTCTGTCATGTCTGCCTGTGGGAAGTACAAACATGAATGTCAGAGACGAGAGCCTCCCAGCCAGAACCTCTCCCTTTCACAGACACAGACATGAATAATTCTAAAATAAGCTGGCCATTAGTCGGTGCTGTAGGCCACTGGTCCAAATTCTATGGGGGAAGCATTAGATAAGGGAGGAGAAATTATTTCTAACCAGGGACTTTGGGGAGGATTCTTTGGGATTTTTACTGGGCCTTGAAGAAGCGTTGAGGAAGAATGGCATTTGAGGCAAGAGGAACTTGAGCAAGGGCTGTAAATGAAGGAAGTGCAAGGTAGTTTGGAAAAGGGCGAGTAGAACAGTATGGCTAGAATGAGTACTATGGACTGGGATAGTGGAAAATGCGCTTGACGTGGTTTGGGCCTTGACTTTGAAGGGCTTTGAGTGGCAAGCTAAGAAACCTGGGTTTTAGCACATTTTATTTTGGCATTACATTTCAATAATACAGCAGTTTTTAGTCCATTTATATTGTTATGAAATATTTGACAAAAATCAGAGAAGATGCCCCATATGATCTCACTTAGAAGATTCTTTCAGTAGCTTAGAATAGAGTGATGAAAACCTCAACTACCCTGAAACATTTGTTTAGCATCTGCTATTGACTGATCACTGCATTTGGCCCCTGGAAAGAGAATGTATAGCATTTGAACATCAGTTAAAGATATAGTTGTAGAGACAGGACACACATGAAACTTAAGAACATTTATAAAGGGCAATATATCATTTGCTTTGTCACTTTAGAATTTCTCTTACTTCAGTTTCCCTCCCAGGGTTAGTGCCAACATAAATGTATTTGGTGCATTCATTCCAGACAGGAAAAAACTTAGGCAGCTACTGGAGAGGCATATTCTGCCTGGATGTTTGGAAATGTTATAAACCTCATGTGACTGTAATTGGGATGATCCTTGCCACCATCCAGACTGGCCATATGTTTAGAATAGCACCAAGTATAGACAGGAGCCATCACAGAAACCATTTCAAGGCCATGCACAATCTTTTCAGTTCATGAGGTCCGGTTCTCAAAGGCAAGTGAGTGTTCCATACAACAACAACAACATCTAACTAACTTATCTTATAAAGGAGTTAATGGGAAATTATTTTCATAATTATCACAGTTGGGTAGGTGATTTGATGAATTAGGTTTTTTACGATTAGTGTTCCCTTATAATCTCTATAGTGCTGGTAACTTTTTTGTTATCTTTCTTATCTTTATTAAGACAGCAGTATTGTATCCACATTCTCCTAATTATGTAAGTTCATGAGGTACTTGTAAACTTAAAATGTTTCACAATCCTGGTATGGAACAGTTAGACTGAGGCTGAAGGAATTGCTCATTCTGCCCTCTACACCTTGGGCAACTTTGCTCAATTTTCCCCTTTATTTGGAATGACCTTCCTCTTTCTTCTCTTTGGCTGTCTCCAAGCTGGTAATAATTTTAAAGTGCAGTATGTTGCAAAGTAGTTTACTCATAGTTCATAGTTCACATATATACACATACGTATGTGTGTGTGCATACATATATATACATTCCATTTTTATTGAGTTCTTAATGATTCTTTCTTTCCCTTAATGTCTTTTTAAAAAATATCACTTAATATTTAAGATTTGATTACTTAGAATAATAACTCCCCTTTCCTTCAGGATTAATCAGTTGTTTCAGGTACTTGGAGCTTTATGTATGAGAAGCATATTATAAATGTGTTGTCATTTTTATTATAATGGTAATGATTACCACATCAATTAATACCATCTGTTTCATCCTTATTTTTTGTTATGTGGTTCTTAGGTTCAGAATTTAACATTACGCAGCCAGAAGTTGGGTGTGTTATCTAGCTCACAGAATGGTCCGCCAAAAAGCACTAGTCAAACTCAATCATTGACCATTTGTCATAACAAAACAACAGTGACCAGTTCTAAAATCAGCCAACGAGATCCTTCTCCAGAAAGTAATAGGAAAGGAGAAAGTCCAAGTCTGGAATCACGAAGCACAGCTGTCACCCGGACATCAAGTATTCACCAATTAATAGCACCAGGTGGGATAAAACTTTTGTTGAAAATAGTTGCATTATTCATTTTCTCAGTAGACAGAGAAAAACAAAAGATGTCCATTACGTAAATAAGAACGATACTTTGAAAGCATTTTAAAATGTGAATTTAATAAGTTAAAAAATAATATCTCAATATTGTAACTTGAAAAAAGAGAAATCAAAAGAGCCCAACAGCTAAAACAAATTATAATAATAAAATAGATTTTTTGGGGGTCAATTGACATTTGATTAACATCTTCATTATATGCTGGTCTCCCACTATAACAATAAAACCTTTTAGCTTTAGAAACAAGATTTGCCTGTGGTTCATTTAATATGCTTCAGTAGAACAAAAGTAAAAGCCTTTAAAAGAAGTATTTTGTTGTTGTTTAAGATTGTTATTAGTGGGAGGAATTTATCACTTTCCAAAAATAAGGATTAGGCACAGTTATTTTCCTTGCCACGTTGCTTTTTTCCATCTCAGATTTCATCTCTGAGAGGAAGATGTCAGGGAATCGACTAAGTTATTTTCATTCTCATCAACCTTTGAATCCCATGTGCACTCCGTTGCTATCTACAGATAACCTTGCTTCATGGTTCTCATGCTGAAAATGTTGGGGCCATCAGAGCCAGTTTTCTTACCATCTCTTCTATTCACTTCAGAATTTGTGAGTGTTGAGCTTTCTTCACTTCTAATAAGATAAGGAATTATCTGCTTTGTTCTTTCAAGTTAGCACTTTGTGCTTGTGTCATTGATGGCATCATTTTTACTGGCTCCTGATCTTCTCTTATAGTTATTACAGCATCTTTTGTCTCCCTCATGCTGGATTTTTTCCTTTGCTTCTCCAGCATACTTAGGTCTCCCCTCCTCTTAATATATATGTACATGTTTTTATACCAGTACAACTATTGTTTATTGAAAGTATGTGTGTGTTGTGTTTGTGTGTGTGTCAGTCATGCACTGGGCAAGACACTTCACATACGTTTCATTTAAAAAAAATCCTTCTCTTATCCAACCTCATCAGGCAAGCATCTTCTTTCTAGCTTTTTATAACTCTGCATTACTTTTTAAAGATTTATTTTATACTACTACAGTCTGCATTTTCTTCACCTAAACCTATTTCTCTTTATAAGTTTCCTCTGTGCTAATATAATATTGCCCACATTCTCTAAATCACCCAATCTCAAAATGTTGGAATTGTTTGATTCCCCTAGTTACAAATCTCTCATTGCTCTGAACTTGGATAGCATTTTAATGCTTTTTTATGGCACTTTCTCTTTTACAGTTATTTATATACTTGTTGATCTTAACTTCTCTAGTAGGCGGTAAGCTCTTTGAGGGTACTTGTGTCAGGCACTTTACATTTATTAACTCTTTTAATCCTTTTTTCAGAGTCACCTTTTCATCCTTTTATCTTGACTGTCCTAAGTTATGCCTTATATGTATGTCTCTGCAGTAGGTGGACAGTAAGTATTTGTTGGATTAATAGTTGATTTTTTTCTGTTTGAATCATGGACGTTATAGCACATTTTTTTCCATTTGTTTTAATTAGGTATCACTGCTTAGAATTCTTAAATCTGAATCTTAGATAAGTACAGGCTTTGTTATAATGTGTAAATTAATAAATTTATTCATAGTTAGTTAGATGTGAATTCTTTTTTATAAACATCTGTGTGCCAGGTTCTGCTCTCTGTATGGCTTGATAACAGGGTTTTTATACTGAATTGTCTGGAGTATCCTTAGCCTCAAATCAGCCTCTGGCCAGTGTTGATAGGAGTCAGTGAGGAGTAGCAGTGATCCACTGTGCTTGGAATGACTGCCTGGGACAATTTCTAGTGATTCTGATAGTTTTGATAGATTATAATGGAGGGTAGGTTAATTCCCTTCCAAAGAGAATGCTACCTTCAGAGAAAGCTAGGAACTCTTTCAGGGTTAGTTCAAGCAAGGAGATCTTTCCGATTTCAGTCTCCCTGAACTCCCAGTACCTGGTTCTAAGTTGGCACTTATTCTTCCCCCTTTTACTGATAGTGCAATAATATCCTTATAGTTGTCTTCCTCTGATGGCCAGTGTTTTATGCAGGTATGGAGGAGACCAGTAAGCTGAAACCATCAGTCTCAGGACAATTGCAATTCCAAATTCAAATGTTATGTGTATTAACCAAACTCTAGTATTCTATGTTGTTGTTGATTAGAAACAAAACCAAATAGAACATCCTAAGTCATATAAACTGTTGCAGCTACCAAATTATACATTTGTTAAAATTTGTTCAAACCTTACACTGTGGTTATTCAAAGCAATTTGTATCTTCTGGCAAAAGCTATATTTTCTACCCTTTTAGATTTTCTGCTCTTGTTGGTGGGAAGTTAGTTTGAAGCTAAGCTTTTTTTTGGGAGATTCGTAGATTAGTAATTTGTCCTTTCCCTCAATTAATAAAATGCTTGTTCCTACAAGTCACTTTCAAATATTAAAAAAATCTACTGTGTTCCAGTGTTCCAGTGTAGTCTAATAATTATTATAATGGACAAGGTTATTGATTCCTTCTATGTATTTTTAGGGTGCTAAAGTTTGGTTTTCTTCATTTCTTTTTTTTTTTAAATCCTCACCCAAGGATATTTTTTCCATTGCTTTTCAGAGGGAGTGGGAGAGAGAGAGAGAGAAACATCAATGTGAGAGAGACATCGATTGGTTGCCTCCTGGCATGCGCCCCAACCAGGGTCGGGGATTGAGCCTGCAACTGAGGTACGTGCCCTTGGCCGGAATCAAACATAGGACTCTTCAGTCCACGGGCTGGCAATCTAACCACTGAGCCAAACCGGCTAGGGCTCATTTCTTCTTGAAGGTGGAGTTCCCACTTGATAGTTAATAATCCTATTTTTATTATATAAAATAAGGCAAATGTCTGGAAATTAATTGTCACTATATTAGACCTAAGTTTTTTATAGCAGTTTTTAGAGCTTTTATGAAATTAGTCTAGTTGGAAAAAATATGTACCCTTTTCTTGCAGACATAATAATTCATTGTGTAATGAAAAGCCTATGTTAGTCTCCTCAGACTGCCATAAAAAAATACCATAGACAGGGTGGTTTAAGCAACAGTTCTGTAGGCTGGAAAGCCTAGGATCAAGATCTGGCAGTGTTTAGTTTTTGGTGAGAGCTCTTCCTGGCTTGCAGATGGCTATCTCCTTGCTGTGTTCTCACATGGCCTTTCATCTGAGCACTAGCAGAGAGGATAGTGAGCTCTCTGGGGTCTCTTCTTACAAGGGCACTAATTCTCTTAGGTCAAGGTCCCACTTTTCTGACCTCATTTAACTTTAATTACTTCCATAGAGGCCCCATCACCAAATAGTCACATTAGGGTTTAGGGCTTCAACACACGAAATCTGTGGGACACAGACATTCAGCCCATAATAGGAACCCAGACTCAGATAGGACTATGGGTTTTTGTGATTTCAGCCTAGTCACTTAATGCTCAGAGTTTCTTCACCTGTAGTATTTTGGATTAGTGTAGTACCCTATCTACCCTAGCTGTTGTAACTATTGAGTGAAATAGTGTATTTAGTATTTAACAATATATTATTTCTACTATTCTACTATATAAGTGAGAAATGATGCCAATCATAAGTTCTCCAAATATAATGCCACCCTGACAATAAAGTGTTTATTAAAACCAGAAAAAAACAAGCATTATATGATTTTCCAGAGCACTAGGGCTTTTCTTGTACAGAAGTATTGTTTCAGATAGCCTCATAATTATTCTGTAATAGATGTGCTTGTCAGTTGGACTTACAGACTAATGTAATAGACTCACACTTTGATTTTTGGTTAAAGAAAATTTTAATCTAGGTGAAAGGATAGACTATTAATCTGTTGAATTATCAACTCTAGAATATAAAAAAAATCGCTTACTTCTAGAGCAGAGAAATAATTTTTATTCCTGTGAATATAATATCCATTGTACTTAAAGAATATGTTAAATTTTAATTATAACTTAAAAATTGAATTAAAATGGGTCTCTGCTGTTATGCTTGCAAACACTCTATTTCTTTATTTGTAAAAAGGGACTAATACCTATCTAATTCATAGGCTTTCTTTTTTTAGTACAGTGAGTGTTGTGAAAGTACCTTGAGCCCATTGGAGGAAAGGCACTCTATAGAAATCCAGAATTTTATTGAGTACTCATTATAGAGGCTTTATCAACACATTTATGAAATGCTGACATAAATTTTCAGGTTTAGTTTGAAGTGCTAGTCTGGTTATGTGAAAATCATTTTGTTAGATGAAATTATAGACCTAATTTCCATTAAAAAAAAGTTCATGGATATTTGTTGAACCTTCTAAATGCCTCTTTTTTGAGATGTTAATCAGATGTTAATTTCCTTAAAGGATCTCCAAAATTTTTTTAAAAAACCAACCAAACGCAGAAATGTAAAAAAAAAAAAAGTTGTCAGAAGTTTTTATAAGGCCTTTGTCACAAATGTGGCTGAATATAAAAATAGATGCAAGATGTTTCTCTATCCTAACAGTCTGAAATTAAGAAAAATTTTTGCCCTATTTTTAGATCTATTTTAAATGTGTATAATTTTTTACATGATATTAATATTAAGCAGTCTTTTCCGTTTATCTTCTAGTGAACCCAGTTTCTTTTTATTTTTATTTTCAATTATAGTTAACATACAATATCATATTAGTTTCAGGTGTACAGCATAGTGACTATACATTTATATATAGTGAACCCAGTTTCCAGTTTTATTTAGATTGAAAGGATTTCACCAGCATCTCCCTCTATGAAAACATAAACTATGCAAAAGAGGCATAATGATGGGGATATTTGATTTTGTTAATGTTTTATATATGTTATCCCTTTCGTGAATGGTTCCTTTGTGGAGAAAACTGGTACTGTCACTTAAAAATTACTGTAGGTTTTTTGTTTGTTTATTTGCTTGTTTTTGTCGGGGGTAGGGGGAGGAAGTAAAACAAGATTCTTTATTTAGACAGTGTAACTTTTTTACTGCCTTGTTGTTTCTGCAAGCAAAGCTCCTAGATTTGGAAGGGCCCCTGAAGTTTCATTTCTTAGTTACAGAGGTCATTTGACAGTGTGCCAGGAACTATACGTTGGTTTTGCTTAATTGGATTAACTTTTTGTACAAAAACATTGTATCCTTCTGGGTCAGATAACACCAGCTCTTTGTCTTGGCACAATTTTGTAACTTATTTGGGAAGGTTTATAAGTAATTACATTCATGAATAGTTGGAAGAATGTTTACACGCAGATTAGAAAGCATGAGATTTTTATTTTATGGATTTAATATTGCATTTTTATGATTTTGAAGTTATTTTATATATATTATACTTGGTTAGTGATACTCCTCTTCTCCCCAAAGAAGGAAGTCGAGTGGATAAACTGTGTTAAAAGTTAATACAGATTTTTCTGGGGACCTATAAAATTTAATAAGAATAAATCATGTATAGTTTCAGATTTATAAATTAATTGTTTTAGGCAATTTGATCACAGTGCAGCTTATTTTATGAAATCTGTAGTTTTCTAAGGAGAAGCTGTTTGTCATTACACTTTCAAGTCACTCTTGTCTGGAAGACTTTCAATAGATTTCTGAAGATTATGACCTGATGTAAAAACTTTCCTTCTTTAAATTTGTTTTAAAAATTCTATGTTTTTGAAATAAATACTAATTGTCATTTTTTCTCTCTCACAGCTTCATATCCTCCAATTCAGCCTCATCCTCTAATAAAACATCAGCAGATTCCTCTTCATTCACCACCTCCCAAGGTTTCCCATCATCAGCTGATATTGCAACAGCAGCAACAGCAAATTCAGCCAATCACACTCCAGAATCCAACTCAAGATCCACCCCCATCCCAGCACTGTATACCACTCCAAAACCATGGCCTTCCTCCAGCTCCCAGTAATGCCCAGTCACAGCATTGTTCACCAATTCAGAGTCATCCTCCTCCTTTAACAATGTCTCCTAGCCAGTCACAGTCAGCACAGCAGTCTGTAGTGGTGTCTCCTCCACCACCTCATTCACCAAGTCAGTCTCCTACTATAATTATTCATCCACAAGCACTTATTCAGCCACACCCTCTTGTGTCATCAGCTCTCCAACCAGGGCCAAACTTGCAGCAGTCCACTGCTAATCAGGTGCAACCAACAGCACAGCTGAATCTTCCATCCCATCTTCCACTTCCAGCTTCCCCTGTTGTACACATTGGCCCAGTTCAGCAGTCGGCCTTGGTGTCCCCAGGTCAGCAGATTGTGTCTCCAGCATCACACCAGCAATATTCAACCCTGCAGTCCTCTCCAATCCCAATTGCAACCCCTCCGCAGATGTCAACATCTCCTCCAGCTCAGATTCCACCACTGCCCTTACAGTCTATGCAGTCTTTACAAGTGCAGCCTGAAATTCTATCCCAGGGCCAGGTTTTGGTACAGAATGCTTTGGTGTCAGAAGAGGAGCTTCCAGCTGCAGAAGCTTTGGTCCAGTTGCCATTTCAGACTCTTCCTCCTCCACAGACTGTTGCGGTAAACCTACAAGTACAACCACCAGCACCTGTTGATCCACCAGTGGTAAGCCCTTGGAAGCTCTTTGACTTTCTTGCTGAACTGAAAGTAAAAACTATTTTCTCCTACATTATGTTACATTGCTAGAGCTACATGCCTGTAAATTTTAAAAGCTTGAAATTTACATCTCTCAGTGTCTGACAAACATACTGTATGGGCAAAAAAATGGCCATTTGTTGTAGTATGGTTGCATGCTTGATAATTTGTGATGGTTATTAAAGTCCCTCGTTAATTTTATTACTATTTAAACAAATCCATCTGCTATCTTTACAGAGTTGATTTTTTTTCCCCAAGGGAATACATTTGAACCAGTGTCATCTGCACAAAGTTTTTTCTCTTAAGGTGATTATCCTTCATAGATCCCTTCTGTTGGCTTGTATGTTCTTAAACGTATGGTTTATCTAGCTAACCTTTTTGGTTGTATGCATTCTGAAGTCCTGGGCCTTTAGAAGCTTTTGTTTCAAAGTTGTGGTGTGCTTGTATGATACAATTTTTGGTAAAATTATATTTTGTAATTAAAATTGTAAAAACATTTATTCTAGGAAACAATGCAACTTTGCAAAAAAACTAAATGTAGATCATCTTTCAGAATTATTAAACTTCTAATTTTTAAATTTCTACTAAGGGAGAATATATACTTAAAATACTTCTCAATTAAAAAGCTAAAAAAATGTCAGTGAATGAATTGAATGCTGAGGATGAAAAAATCCATTGGGAGGAGTAAAAGTTTTGAATAATTGAGATTGTGGTGAAATCAGAATAAATCTCTAAAAACGGTACATGTTGCCTAGAAAGGAAAATTGTCTTGAAAAATGTTTTTCACATTTATAAAATAATTTACAGTAAAAATAGAATAAGGTCTTGAAATTTTTAGTTAGAATGATGAAATTCATAATTAATTTATAACTAAGGAAAACAGACTTCCCAAAAGGAGGTTTATATCTCTGTATAAAGATCTCACTGAGGGGATTTTATCACTTAAAGACCAATACCCATTTGCTTAGAAAGGAAAGGATGTTCAAGGTCTGTTCCTTAATGGGAAACATTTTGGACCTCATGATGCAAATTTATAGATCCTTTATTCTTGACTGTAATAGGCATAAAGAGATTGAATTCCATGTCCTGTTCACTTTTATTAAAAACAGAACTTGACAAAAACAACAATGGGCATCTAGAAATAAGCTTGTCATTCAATTATCATGTCTCTGTATTTTCTTTTAATGGCATTATGGCGAGTGTACAATGGCTATTTTAACAAAAACACACACAGGCTTCTAAGTGTACAGTATCTTCAAAGAAATCAAATTTAATTAAAGTTTGTATTCTTACTTTTTTAGTTCAGTGAATTGGTTTTTAATAAGTAAAAAATAAAATTTCTTTCTATGCCTTATATTTTTCTAATTGTTTTTGTTAGGGTAAACTTTGGAGGAACACATTTGGGATAGAAATATCAAAAACGTAACACTTGAATTAAAGTTAAAAATATGTATGGTCTAATTTGTTATTTCCTTCTCTCTCAAAATTTTTAAAAAAATTTATATTATCTCATTTTTGGAAGGTGTGTGTGTGTGTGTGTGTGTGTGTGTGAAAATAATTTTCTCTGCTGTCACTGTATGGTCATACTTGCTATTGATATTTCCATGTTATCTTTCTTACGCCTTTCTGTGAGTACCATAGCCTATTTATTAAATTGATATATTTTTCTTTTATTATCTTTGACCAAATGTGGTTTTTTTAAATCAAAACATTTCTTCACCAATTAATACCTTTTTTCACAATTTCCTGTTGATCAAATATTTAAAGGTAGATATATTTACTTCTTAAAAGATTTGAAATTTTGAAAAATAAATGTGAATTATCAAAGTAAAATAAGTATGTTTTTAAATAGAAATATTTGTAAAAGATGTAAAACTAAGGTTTTTGATTGATATTTGGATATGATAAAATGTGGTGAGAGTAGATAATTTAGAACTAATCAATATTTTATGGTTTAGTCAGGAAAGGAGACAGATGGCACTAATGCACTTTATTGAGGTAAGTCTGGCAGGCATTGCTCGTTTTAGAATAGTTATTATGAGCTAAACAGAAATTGTGATGTGCAGTTTCCTAATGATCTTACCAGCAAAACCTCCACCACTTTGCTTTATTCAATATTTTAGTTGTTGCCTTTAGATTTTTTTTTTTATGCTGATGGTGCCAGATGTCTGTGACAGATGTGCTTTTGTCTAATTCTTTTGTTCATTAACTTATTTTGCCTTTACATGGGCAATTTGGAAGAATGTATAGTGCAGCTTAACTATAAAGAATGAAAAAGTATTTTACGGTGTTCTTTGATGGGTTATTTCAGAATATACTATTTGTGATATGCCTCTTTTTATCCTTTAAATCTCTCATTATCATTATTTTTTCAAAAGCAGAATTCTATGCATGATCAAACTTTGAATCCTTAAAAGGTACTGTAGAAGGTGTTTGAAAAACTTGTGACAGATTAATATTAAAGAGAGTTTAGCATTTTAAGAAAAGATAACAGTCTTTGGAGGAAAAGTAATATCTAAGAAAGGAATGCTACACAGATAAAGTTGAACTGGTTGATAAATTAATACTAGTCTAACTACTTCTGCATCAACATCCCTACCACTCCACCAAATTAAGGTAATCACTACTACAGCAGATGCCCCTCACTAGAAGGTTCTCTTTTTCCTTTAACCTCAGGACTTTTTTTTGGATGACTTTCCCTGTATTGGACATTAGCATCATTTAAAAAAAACTTATCATGTAAAGATATTAGCAGCTATCATTATTGCACACTGTTCAGTAATGAACAACTGCTTTCACTTCTGAGGATCCAGACATGAGGCGAGGAATCTGTTGGTGAAACAGGTTTCCAGATGTAGAGTTGTGAGCAAATGCTTTGAAAATGTTGCTTACTTAGTAGCTGATATTATATTTGATATAAAATTATCAGTAACAATAGGATTAAAAAAAAATTTAAGGCAAAAGATTTCTTAGTAGAGGCTTGGAAAGTTAGTTTAAAAAAACAGCTATCGCTGTTGTTAAATATGCCTTTGTGGATGAAACTTTATAGCCCTTTTTATATAACATTGGGTTTATTCTGGTTTCAGAAATCTTGATTATTTTTATATTTGATTTTATGTATTTCAAACTTTATCAATTGATTAAAAATACATACAATATTAGGTATCATTTAAAGTTTTTTGTTAATGTTGAAAGGTTTTTGTTTTAACATTTATTAGAAATATTAATCAGTTTGGGCAGATCTAATCTTAAAAACTCACAGCCTTTGTAAATTTAAGTAATAAGCTTTGTACATAAAAAGAAGGGAGGTGAACTACTTTGTGGCTTTTAAAAAAAGTCTATCATTTTTTAAAAACAATGGTTAAATAAGTGATGACAAATTAAGTACCTGTGTCAGCATCTAGAAGTGGACTTTTAAAGTTCAGTATTAAAGTTATTGAAAAATTAATAATAAGCTCTATTTTGTTAATATGGTTCCTTCTCTGAGTGCTTTTGAACCATGTTTAAGTATAACTTTTACCACTGAATAACAAGGTAGTTAAGTTAAAGACTTAAACACTTTCATGTGTAATTATAGAATAATATTAAAGAATTAAAATTAATGCCTCAAATGGGTTTGGATGGTGTGTGTGTGTGTGTGTGTGTGTGTGTATTATTTCAGGGACAGATATTTTCTCATACCTGATATTTGCTTATAAAAAAAAATCATTAGATTCTTGAGTACTCAGAACATTAAAGAAAGAAGTAATTGCATACATTCCTTTTTGTAGGTACTCAGATATTACTTTTCATAATTTAATCTTTCACATAAATATAATAAAGAACCTGGGGTGTAGTTGTTTAGGCAGTACACTTCCTGATATATTGTGTTTCATTTTGGAGACTGACTTAGTGTGCTTGTGGAAAATAGTATCTATTTTGATTTATCACAATTAGAAGTTAACAGAAACAATAGTAAATTTCTAAAATAGACTATATAAAATCAAAACATTTCTTTTACTTCTCAAAATTAAAAATATGTCCTGACTTGACAGTCACCTTTTTGGAAACATTAGTTATTTGTAACATAGATACTTACTGATCCACAACTTGCTTTTAGTGAAATATTGTCAAGTATTTGCAAAACTTCATTTTTAAAGTTTTCTTTTCAACCCGTCAAATAATCATTTGCCTTGTTTTTAAATTCAAAACACTCGAAATTTACTTTTTTTAAATTAAATTAGGAACACCTTACTAAATGTATTTTTTAGCAACATTTAAGGCAGTGTGGTTTGTTGTTGCAGGTTTATCAAGTAGAAGACATGTGTGAAGAGGAAATGCCAGAAGAGTCAGATGAATGTGTCCGCATGGACAGAACCCCACCACCACCTACGTTGTCTCCGGCAGCTATAACTGTGGGGAGAGGGGAAGATTTGACTTCTGACCATCCTTTGCTAGGTAAGGAAATATCTCAGTTTGGGGGCATTTTCTATTAGATAAATGTTAGTAATGGGAAACTTGTTTTTTTCCACTACAGATGGTATTAAACTAATTTGTTATGTAATTAATTTCAGTAAAACAGATTAGAATTAAAGATTTTTTTTGAAGAGGAACAGTTAGACCAATTGATGAGGAACTGCCCAAATGAAAAGTATATTGTAGCTTCCTAATTTTTATTGATTTGCACAGCTATGTTTCATATGATCATTCAGATTCATGTGTCAAACTGTTTCTGTCTTAAAAATTGGAATAAATCAAAGTTTTATCAAAAGATTTCAACTATACTTTCCCTAAATCACAAAGCATTCTAAGTAGTATTTGGCATTCCTCCTAATTGCTTGTGCTCTAGACTGAGTAAATGCTTTTGAAAGTGTTCTTTCCCATACATACTTAAGCCTGACTATTTCTTCCTAGAGATGGATTAAAAAATTATTGAGCTTAAGCATTCAAATTCTGATTCACTACGTTGGTGCTACTTTAAGTTCAAGTATATCTTTTATATGCTCCTCCTCACAATATCAAAGTGACTGTGAATCCTAGATATTTTACTAAAACATTAGTATGATCTGTTGCCCAGTGTCTAGGTCCTAAAAAAGATACATTCTGTGTTTGTTTTTTTAAATTTATGAATATTTTATTTAGGTCAGGGTTTGGCAGACTAGCTCACACTTTAAATCTTTCCTGCTGCCTGTTTTTGTTTGACCCATGAGCTAAGGATGGTTGTAAATTTTTTAAATGGTTGAAAAAAAATCAAAAGAAGAGTAACATTTCATGTTCTGTGAAAATTATGTGAAATATAAATTCCATTGTTCTTTAATACAGTTCTCTGCAATATAGACACGTTCATTTGTTCAAATACTATCTATGGCTACGTTTGTGTTATTGCAGCAAAGATGAGTTGCAAAGACCATATTTGTCCTTCATAAAATGTTTGTTTACCCCTGATTCTGTTAACACTAATGTTGGTTCAGGCTTTGTTGTAAGTATTCCGCTCTGTTGACCATCTCTTGGTCCCTGTGATCATTTCAGGTAAGAAGACCTGAACAAGCATGGAAACAAATTATAATGGGGCACTGACTTTGCTGCCACAGTAACCCTTGCCCTCTCTTTTCTTCAACATGCCACATCTCTAACTCTTCTTTTCTCTCCAGCTTTTATTCCCTTATTACAGATGTGAATCTCTGGAAACATAGTAGGGGGAAAATCAGTTTTCTTCCAATTTTTCCCCTTCCTGAAAAATAGAAAACATTTAGTCAATAAAATTATATAAAATATTTAAGACAAGTTTAATATTATTGCCTTTGTATATTCAAAACAATACTTCAAAAGATAGATTTATGCCCGGCCGGGCATGACTCAGCGGTTGATCGTCGACCTAGGATCCAGGCGATCGGGGTTCGATTCCCTGTCAGGGCACATGCCCGGGTTGCGGGCTCCATCAATGATTCTCTTGTCGTTGATGTTTCTATCTCTCTCTCTCCCTCTCCTTTCCTCTCTCTGAAATCAATAAAGATATATTTAAAAAAAAAGAAAGATAGATTTAAGAAAATCTATAGTATGAAATTTTTATGTTTTCTGTACACTGAAAATGGATTTATGTTGCTGCAGATTTTCTGGAATTTTGGTATAAAGGCAGAAATAGAAGTATATGGTAATTGGATAATAACCTTGCGTTGAGACTGATAAGCATCACTAATGGTACTCAAAAGAAATTGTAAAATTTTTGAAATATTGGAACACAAGAATATCTTTACACATGAGTCAAGGAATGTAGTCTGAGATCCTGTCACAAGCATATCTCTCTAGCTAGATTGTCTAAATACAATGTAGACTGTTGAGTCTTCCTATAATTTACTTCATACTTATTATTCTTTTGTAATATAGAAGGGGGGAGAGCAAGAAGGCTGATATTTAGGATAACCCTCATCAAATCATGCAATAAACTAACTTGCAAAATAGACTTGTTTCCGTCTAGGATTCCATTTTCATAAATCTCTGCTCTTTTAAAATTTTTCTCAGATATCTACTCACTGATATTCCTAGCTATCAGCTGGTTTCATCTTTCCACTTTCATGCAGGCAGTAAAGTTTCAGTGCTTTCGAATGGCTGGATAGGTACAGTCTCCATTGCAGGCAGTCAAGGCTGTCTTACTGTGGTCTCCCAGAGTTTGAAAGGGAGGAATTGCAGTGATCCAGCCCAACATTTTGCAATTGCCTGGTAGTACAGTGTTCCCCAAATTGACATATACAGCACCACTGAAGAGCTTAAAACACACACAATAAAACAGAACATTTGTGCATGGATTTGGATTAGCCTTACTCCTTGATATAAAGGTGATGTGACCTGTGTAGTTCATTAAAATGTTTACTTATTCTGTGGATTTCATGATTCTTTTTTATATAAGCATACTTTCAAGATGCTTTTATTCCCCCATACCATTTGGAATATATAAACAGTAACATAGGGAATTTAAATCTATGTAGTTTAAAATTTTTGAAAAAGCAACAATTTTAGTAATCTTAATTTGACATTCTAAAACATATTCATGTCTTATGGGACAGTTCTTTTTAGCTGTGGTTGGAATGATAACTGAGCAAGTTATCTGAGCAGATTAAATGAGATAATAAATACAGAGTTTTTAGAAAACCTTTTAAGCACCAGATATGAGCTAGTATTGTTATTAATGATTATTTTTAAGTTGTCTTTCATATTTGCCTGGGCAGAATGCTAAACATTAAAAAAATGATTTTTTTTTTCCAGAGCAAGTAGAATTACCTGCTGTGGCATCAGTCAGCGCTTCAGTAATTAAATCTCCTTCAGATCCTTCACATGTTTCTGTTCCTCCTCCTCCACTCTTGCTGCCAGCTGCTACCACAAGGAGTAATAGCACATCGATGCCCAACAGCGTTCCCAACGTAGAAAACAAACCTCCACAGGCCATCGTTAAACCACAGATCTTGACCCATGTTATTGAAGGCTTTGTGATTCAGGAGGGATTGGAGCCATTTCCTGTAAGTAACAAGCAAATTTGTATTTTAAAAATAATTTGTGTAACATTATTTTAAAATGTAACCTATTTTCTAATAAAAAGCTTGTAAAAGTTGTCACTCTTTTATCTAGAATTTCTCTCTCTATATCATGTCTATATTCCAAATATACTTCTAAAATTTTATGCTATTTAGATATATAAACTAAGGAGGAAAACTTGAGGATATAAAGATATCGGTTTTATAATTTTTAGAGAAAAGTACTTGGAAATTTATTCCAATGAAATAAAACCTTCCTATATTTTCTTTTTTAAAAAAAAATATTTTAAAAATTGATTTCAGAGAGAGGAAGGGAGAGGGAGCGAGACAGAGAAACATCAATGATGAGAGAGAATCATTGATCGGCTGCCTCCTGCACACCCCCTGCTGGGGATCAAGCCCACAACCTGGGCGTGTGTCCTGACAGGGAATCCAAATGAGATCTCCTGCATCATAGGTCGATGGTCAACCACTGAGCCACATGGACTGGGCCCTATTTTTTCTTTTCAAGGGGAACTGAAATGACACCTAAAGTGTATTTCTTTAAAAATTGTGTTTCTTATATAATGTGATACTTAGTGAACTTTAACTTGAGTACAGAAAATAACAACTTCCCAATGACCTAATCCTTTTGAAGTTACCCAGTTGGTGGTTTATAATTAGCAAATAGATAGTCTCATTATTCTTAAATATCGACCTTCATCAGATTTTTAAAAATGCTTTAAAATGTTCACTTCAAAGTATCTATCACTAAAAGTCTTATAATTTGAGACTAGCTGTATATGCTCCTCTCTAGAGATGAACATTTTTCCTTAGAAAATAACTTTTAAAAGAGTGGCCAAAATAAAAGAAAACAAAATAGTTTATTTTGAAGGTCTTTGAATCATCTGATTTTTGAGATTCATGGGTAGTGAAGATCTTACATTGTGATAGTTGGTTGCCTAATTAATTGCTTTTTTTCAGTTTACCCTGGATGTATTAAACATAGATGTCCTACAAGAATCCTGATTTAGTGAGGGGAGGAACAGTCATTTCTCTCTACTCCTCAGTGTTTGGATCCTGGCTCTGCAGCGTACTGACTGTGGGAAGTCACTCAGTCTTTTTGATCTTCATTTTGCTCATCTGGCAAATGGAGATGATACTTTGCTCTTAAGATTGTTGTAAGGATTAAATATGCATAAATGCTTTTGTGTAGTACTGGCACTTAACAGGCATAGCTATTATTATCACTATTACTAGTGACAGTTACAACTTTTTTTTAAGATTATAAAAAAAACAGAAAATTTGGGAAATGTACAGAAAAACCTCCACTAATACAGCGATGTGTACATTTATATATATATACACACATATATGTATTTTCATATGATCAAGATTATTATTATATATGTTGTTTTGCTTCTTTCACTTAGTATGTCTGGAGCACTTACTTTGTCATATGGTTAATAGTACTTTGGAAACATTTTAAAAGGTTATATTATATTCTACTTTATGTACAACCGTAATTTATGTAATCGTTTCGTTACTGTTGGACATTTAGGTTTCTGTTTTTTCACTATTCAAATAGTCCTGAAGGGAATCTCTTTGTATATAAATTACCCACATTTTAAACAATTTCTTTGGCATAAATTCCTTAGAAGTACTGGTATTGGATAACATTATATTTGTAAGATTTGATATATATTACTAAATTATTTTCTGGAAAGATTATTTAAATTTATTAACACACCAGAAGTGTATACCCTTAGCAGCACTGAATATTATAGTTTTTTACAGCAATAACTTTTATAAATTTTACTTGAGGCATATTAAATATACCAACTGAAATCAACACAATTTGAAAGCCTGTTGTGGATTATTCTCTAAAGTTAAATGTAGAAATTTTCAGTAAGCTATTGTTGGCCGAGTGTAGCAGATATTGGAGAATTAACCAGCATTCTTTTTTGTTTGTTTTGTTAATCCTCACCTGAGGATATTTTTTCCATTGCTTTTTCAGAGAGAGTGGAAGGGAGAGGAAGGGGGAGACAGAAACATCGATGTGAGAGAGAAACATCAACTGGTTGCCTCCTGCACGTGCCTGTGACCGGGTGTGGGGAGCAGACCTGCAACCCGTGGGTACGTGGGCTGATGCTCTAACCACTGAGCAGCATGGGCCAGGGCTTAACCAGCATTCTTAAATAGAAAAGAAGTTCTATTTTTCAGATTAGCTGAGGGTTCACTAGCAAATCAGTAAATATTTTTGATCTGGACTGTTTTTGCTGACACATTTCTAAATTAAGTATTATTCATGACTTAACTAAGTATATTGAACGTAAGTGAATTTTTTGTTGTTAATTTTAATGTTTGCGGATTTTTCCATTTCTTTTTGTGATTCTAGTGGATTTGGTTGCTGAACTAAGAATCTGGAGACTTGGGTTCTAGTTCTGTTTTTGCTGTTGTCAAGAAATCACCTAAACACTTTGAACATTAGTTCCCTTATCTCTATTTACTTATTTTAATTTTTAAGTATAGTTGGTATTCAATATTATATTAGTTTCAGGTGTACAATATAGTGATGTGACATTTATATATCTTATGATGTGATCACCACACTAAGTCTAGTAATTATTTGTCACTGTACAAAGTTATCACAATATTATTGACTGTATTCATTTTCACCTTTTTCACCCAACCCCTCCCCCCTTCCCTCTGACAGCCATCAGTTTGATGTTTCTTTGAGTCTGTTTTTGTTTTGTTTGTTCCTTTTGTTTGTTTAGATTCCACATATAAATGAAATCATATATCTTTTTCTTTTTCTGTGGGACTTATTTCACTAATACCCTCTAGGTCCATCCATGTTGTCACAAATGGCAAGATTTCATTCTTTTTGACGGCTGAATGACATTCTATTACATATATGTACCAACATCTTTATCTATTCGTCTGTGGATGGACATCTAGGTTGCTTCCATATCCTGGCTATTGTAAATGATGCTGCAGTGAATATAAGGGTGTATATATCTTTTTTTTTTTTTTTAAAATATCTTTATTGATTTCAGAGAGAGGAAAGGAGAGGGAGAGACAGAGATAGAAACATCAATGATGAGAGGGTCATTGATTGAGCCCGCAACCGGGCATGTGCCCTGACCGGGACTCGAACCCTGATCGCCTGGATCCTAGGTCGATGCTCAACTGCTGAGCCACGCCTGGCCGGGCAAGGGTGTATATATCTTTTTGAATTAGTGTTTTGGATTTCTTTGGCTATATACCCAGTAGTGGAATTGCTGGGCCATACGGTAGTTCCATTGGTAGTTTTTTTTTGAGGAATCTCCATACTGTTTTTTTGTTTTTTAAAATATATCTTTATTGATTTCAGAGAAAGGAAGGGAGAGGGAGAGATAGAAACATCATGATGAGAGAGTTGTTATTGATCGGCTGCCTCCTGCACGCCCCCAACTGGGAATTGAGCCTGCAACCCAGGCATGTGCCCTGAATAGGAATCTAACGGCTATCTGTTGGATCCTAGGTTGATGCTCAACTGCTGAGCCATGCCCGGCGGGGCTGCGTGCTGTTTTTAACAGTGGCTGCACCAATTTACACTCACACCAATAGTGCACAAAGTTTCCCTTTTCTCCACATACTTGCCAATACTTGTCATTTGTTGAGTTCTGCAAATAAAAAGCTTCGTACATAAAAAAAATCTTGAAAAAATTTAAAGAAACTAGCAAATAAAAATTTATTATTGATTTTTAAAGAAAAGACTTTTTCTTAACTACTTGACTAAACTAGGATGCTAGATTCCATTTGATAGAGATTTTGAAGCATCCACATTGCTGACGACCTGAACTATAAAGTGCTTATGTCCAGATAGCCCAGCCTTTTCTCAAGGAATAAAGCACTTAATGACTGTATCTGATCAATTGAATGAGCAAAAGACACAGATACCATTCTTTTCAAAAGGTTTTTAACCAACTTATTTCTAAAAGTCTTTTGAAAGATTATTTCATTTTATTCTCTCTCTGTTTTAAAGGTGAGTCGTTCGTCTTTGCTAATAGAACAGCCTGTGAAAAAAAGACCTCTTTTGGATAATCAGGTGATAAATTCTGTGTGTGTTCAGCCAGAGCTACAGAATAATACAAAGCATGCAGATAATTCATCTGACACAGATGTGGAAGACATGATTGCTGAAGGTCTGTGGATTTCACTTAAAATACCCTTTAAATTAACTGACTTTTACTGCTTCAAACAGGACATGGATTTTTATTCTGCACAGATTTTTTTAAAAATTAATTTTATTGTTGAGAGTATTATAGATATCCCCCATTTTCTCACCTTTGCTCCCCTCCACCCATCTCCCACCCCACCCCAGGCCTTCACTTGTCTATTGTCTATGTCCACTGGCTATGCACATATGCTTATAAGTGCTAGGGCAAGAGAAACAACGGAAAAAGTAAACAAATGGGACTACATCAAACTAAAAAGCTTCCGCACAGATTTTTAATTGGAAGTATTTACTCTTAGTCTAATGTAATACATTATCTGGCTAAAATAATGAAAAAGCTAACCACATTCTTAATAGCCAAATAATAATAAAAACAAGATTGGTGTTAATTTGCATAATGTCATTTTGACTTTTGAAAGAATGTGGGTGGGAAAAATTCCATTATACATGAAAGTAATTAAAAATTTTACCCAAACAACCAATTTTCTGTCTTTGTTTTTTTAAGCCAACTTAAATAAATGACTATTTTATTGAGTTTGCTAAAAAGTTTAGAGCTTCTGAATTGATTGGTTTTAGACTTTCCATATTCTGATGTTTGATATCAGTTGGGTATTACAGCTATATTAAGGATGTACTCTTCAATCAAGAGGTGATTAAATTTGTCCAAAGGAAAATTTGAATACTGAATCTTCTTAATGTCAAAGGATCTTTTTTATAGACTTAACTCTCATAGTGAATATTCCATCAAAGTCAGAGTAGTATACAAAATGACTGCAGGAGAGCAAATACAAATAAATGCAAAAATGATATCTTTTATCTTCCATTGATTCTGATCATAGTCCTGACATTTCCTGTAGCCCAGGCTCTGGTAGCAGATGATGAACACGGTGTCTCAGGAATTGCCTTAGCCATCCTGCCAGAATGCCTTCATTCATTTGCGGGGGTACTTTCAATCCTCGTCCGAGGAGATGCCCTGCGTCTAGCGCAGGCACCAAAGCTCATGTCCCACGAGGTGCTTTTTGAAGTGGTCCTCCTGCCGAGCGATGACTGTGTCTTACTCATCTTCATCTTTTTTACAGTGCTTAATAAAGTTATTTGCACGTTTTAGACATGTTGGAGTCTTAGCAAAGTGAACCTTTAAAATGTATTGCCTATGTTTATAGAGAAAACTCCGTAAAATTTTTATGCAGGACAAGGAGGGAGTTTATGGAGGTGGTTGGTTTTGGAGGCTTTGCCCTGCCAAAGTGGCTGTGAATTGAAAAATTTGAAGATCATTCCTTTAAGTTTCCTGGAAGGTCTGAACTAGCAAGCATCCAACCAAAATAGAGGCTAAAAGAAAATTTGCCACTATTAAGTTTGTAAGTTTTTTCCTTTGTTTCCTTCTTTTTTAGAGACATTAGAAGAAATGGACAGCGAGTTGCTCAAGTGTGAATTCTGTGGGAAGATGGGATACGCTAATGAATTTCTGCGGTCAAAACGATTCTGCACTATGTCATGTGCCAAAAGGTATTTCTTTTATTTTGAATTTCCTAACGCACAAACCAACACCACTGTAACAAAACTAAAAAACTTGTAGAGCTTACCAGTAGTCAAAACTAGATATTACAAAATAGAGAAATACTTTCAAATAGACATTATGTGGAACTACTTTGCTATTTAGTTATTAAATTTTGCTCTTCGAAAAGCACGTATTCATAACACAGTTAATTTTACAGTATAATCTAATACTGAAGTAGCAATCTCCTAGTGGTAAGAATATATGCTTAGGAGAATCCCTCCTGTTAATACACTACTAGTCCTCAAGATATCAAAACAATTTTTGTTTTATCACCTGACCTTTTTATCAGTATTGAAATACCTGAACTTACTTTGTTTTCTTTTAAAATGTTTTGTTTTAACTGTATCCTATTAATTCTAGATTTCTAAATAGAACAGCTATAGTATGTTCTCCACATTGTTATATTATCAGCAAAATATCTATCTTTTCTAAATCTGTATTTGCAATAGTAATAACTGGTAAAGTAGTATTGATAATAAAACAGGTAAAGTAGTATTGATAATAAAAGGAATGTTTAGTATCTTTATTCACTTTGTTTCGTTTAGTTTACATTTTTTAAAAATGCCTCTGATTCTGATAATGGTGAAAACTCATTAACAGGAACCTCATTTAAAGTGAAGTAGAGAGGCCAGAAAAGGGGAGCTCTCATGCCCGATGTTGATCACAAGGCATAACAGGGAAACTTTGTAATAATACCCTTCCCAATTTACTTTTCCCCTGTATGTAAGAATTTCCTCTCCCTCACTGAGGAAATGGAATAGAAAAATAGAAGAGCAGAAGGAAGAAGTGTCTGGTGCTTTGTGTTTCACCATGGTTGCATGTACTGGGTGCATTTCCTCGTTCTTGAATAAACCCATTTTTGCTGGAGAAATATCTGGCTGACTTTTTGTTTACAGTCAACATAATAAATCCTAATATTGATATTTACCACTACAGGTGAAGTGTATGCACAGGTTGATCATTTTGAAATTTGTTCTCTGTTCCAAAAAGAGTTTAAGACCTTAATTTTGTACATCTAGGGAATTTCTTGCTTGAACATAGTATTTAGTATGGCGCTACTAAAATATACTTAGTAAAACTTAGTAACTAAGTTTTATACTACTAAATAAGTAAGAGAAGTATTTTCCTCCCAAAATGGGTTTTGATTTCTCAGTTATCAATCAGTTATTCAGATATTCTTTTGTTATTGATAATCCTGATAAAACTATCTAACTCCTAGTTAACTTGGGAGTTTTCCAATTTGTGTATACTACAAGAAAGAATAGTGGCTCTGTGGTTCTAAATGATTAAAAACTCTGAGGGAAAGGGCTGCTTTTCAGAATAGTTTAATTTCTTGACTTTTTAGAAATATTTCAAGACATTAACACTACCATCACTCTTCTCCCAGAGATGGTTGCCGAGTTGCCACATTGTTACACCTTTAGGTGAGCCTCTGTAGGAGGTTGGGACCCTAACAGGGAAAGCAGGCGGGAGAGCCAGGAGGAGAGGGTAAATTAGGTCAGGGAGGGGCTGCTGCCCTTTATACAGCTGTCTTGGAGATCTAAATATTTAGGGACTAAACAACAAGCATAAAGTTCCTCTTTTTTCTGATCTTTAGTCAACGGGGAAAGGAGTTTTGTCAATTGATAGGAATGGAAATCAGAAACTGATGAGTTGAGCCCATTGAAGAGCATAATGAACATAGCAGAAGCTTGTTAAATTGTTTTAGGGTAAAATGAAGTGGTTATAAGGACACTTTTTTGTTTTTTATATTTTTTTGGGGGGGGAAACCATTCTTACAGTGCTCCTTACTTTCATCTGATATTTTCATAAAACGTACATGAGGAAAATTTATTTTCCATCTGTATATTGGCCCTAGAACAGTTATCAATAGCAAAGTGAATTGGGATTTATTCTTGTCATATTTCTGAAAATCCTTAGAGCAAAAGAGTTCTGAATATATGAAATTACAATGGCAATTTTATATGTGTAAAAAAAGAGGAACTGCATGTATTTTTCTTAGCCTTTCTGTAGCTTTTCAGAAATTTGTCTCTTATATTCTTCCCACTATTCTTTCTAGGGACATGGTTGGTCTGCCCAGGCTGTCATTCCTGTAGCCTATATTTATATGGCCCCTAAGCTAAGGATGGTTTTTAAATTTGGGGGTAGTTGAAAAAAAAATCAAAAGAATAATATTCTGTAATACATGAAAATTATGGGAAATTCAGATTTTAGTGTTACTAAATAAAGGTTTATTGGAACACAGCCATGCTTATTCATTATTGTCTATGGCTGCTTTCATGTAATAATTGCAGAGTTGACTAGTTGTGACACAGACTTGAATGGCCCATAAAGCCTAAAATATTTACTATCTGACCCTTTATAGAAAAAGTTTGCCGGCCCCTGTTTTAGGTCCTTGGAATCCTATAAATGGCATAGGACTGTTTTAAGCTGTCATTATGCCTTATAAAGGTCTATATTAAAAAATATTAGATAGTCTATCAATTTCAAAGTATTATGTATTTTTAAATTTCCTGAAGAATGAGCTATGAATTGCTTGTGTAATTTTGAAATCTCAACTTTACATTTTCACTCTTTGATTCAGTAATATACTTGAAAAATCTTCTAGTAGCCATTTGAGATTTTCTTGTTTTCTACTGTTTTAAGCTTATTTTTATTAATCTCTCTTCAGAAATTATTACTTGGGAAAATATCGGTTTGGATGAACGTTTAAATAGTTAATCTATAACTTCTTTTTCTCCTGGAACCTTGAATTACTCTGCTGCTGTAAACATCAGTTGCCCTCTCTGTTTTGCAGACAGTCTCCCACTGTCATGCTGTTATTAGGAAAGAATATCATTACCTGTCCAGTATTAGATTGAGAGCTTATTGTACAGATACATACAGAGGCCAGTTTTTGACTGTTCATATAAGTAAATCCATTGACCACTATTGTTTACTGTCTGAGGTTTATAGTTCTTAATGAAGTATATGCCACTTACTGATTCACAAATTCACTTTAAAGTCATAACTAACTACTAAATAGAGTGTCCCATATATCATTTAATATTTTTTCTTACTTGAATTTCTTAGGTACAATGTTAGCTGTTCTAAAAAATTTGCACTTAGTCGTTGGAATCGTAAGCCTGATAATCAAAGTCTTGGGCATCGTGGCCGTCGTCCAAGTGGCCCTGATGGGGCAGCAAGAGAACATATCCTTAGGCAGGTCTGTAGAAACCTTGCTTCAATGTACAATACCCTTTTCAGTAATGCAAGGAAAGCGCAATGCTGTATTTTACTTGTACTACATTTTCCAGCTTCCAATTACTTATCCATCTGCAGAAGAAGACTTGGCTTCTCATGAAGATCCTGTGCCATCTGCTATGACAACACGTCTGCGCAGGCAGAGTGAGCGGGAAAGAGAGCGCGAGCTCCGGGATGTGAGAATTAGGAAAATGCCTGAGAACAGTGACTTGCTACCAGTTGCACAAACAGAGCCCTCTATATGGACGGTTGATGATGTCTGGGCTTTCATACATTCTTTGCCTGGTATGTAATTCAGCACTTTGGCCTTAATGTTTTTCTTGTGCATTCACATACAGGAATGATGTTAGATCCATCCACACCTGTTGCACGAAAGGGCTAGAGAAGTGCTTATGTACATGTATTTAGTTAAATGACATTTGCTATTGAAATGTGATCTGTTTCCTCTTGCTTATTCCCTCAGCACAACTGGGTGTTTTCTCATATCCCCAAGTCGATAAAAACTGACTAGTCCTGCTTCTGCTGTGACACCTCAGCCGGTGAAGATATTAAAGGTGCTCTCTTCTCTTCAGTCTGATTTCTCTCGAGAGGTCAGTAGAGAGATTGAGTCAGACACTTCTTCCCTTCTGCTCTTCTATTTTTCCATTCTTTTTCCTCCTTATTTCCTAATTTAACCTTTTTTAAAATAAGAGAGACTATAATTTTTTTAATATTTTTGAAAACTAACCAAGACCTTTAGAGTATGTTAAACTTTTGATTTCTTTTAGAAAAATCAGGCTGGTTCTTTTAAAAGAAGCTACATTCTTTGCAATAAGTAGATATCAAGAACAGTTCCAAAGTTTGATTTTTTAAGTAGACAACTAACATTCATTTATGATATTCTATCCCAGTATTGAGGTAACTTTCTTATGTTTTTCTGCTCTCTCATTTTGGTATTCTTTCCATCAGCTTAATCTTTATGTTCTTTATCTTTTTTCTTTAGTGTGACAATAATCTTCTATATCCACTTTCTCCAAGGGGTTGGCTACTAAAGACATCTGCACCTTTGCTCACGATGAGAGCCACACTGATTATATATGTTAAGATAATATATTTTTTGGCCTTATGAAAATGGAACACAAGGAGATTTTAAAATATTTGTGCCATTTGGGTTTTATTGTGAATCATACCATTTATCTTGACACAAGCTTTCCAGAAAAATATATCCCCTTTGAGGTTGTCTACAGGCTTATTAAAATTAATCCAGCTATTTTTGCTAATTAATCTTTCTGTGAAAGTGACCACTGCCTCGAAGGAAAATTACAGCTGATGTGCTGTGAGAGTGAAGAAAGTATATTCAGCAGTATTACTGCTTTAAAAAAAATTTTATCAGCCATTTTACCTTATATACAGAACTCTATGAGATTTTATTATTTTTTCAATAGCTGTTTTTAGAAATGCTAAATAAGTTTTATTTGTTTTTTTAAAGAAAAACAAGATATGATCACTTTTAAAGAAAGAATAAATTGTTTAAAAAGGAATACGTTTTCCATGGGAAGATATTTAAGCATGCACCTAAGAAAATTTAGGTGTGAGTTAAGTGCTGACCATGTGGGTTTAGAATCTGCTTTAAAACTGATGTATTAGAGGATGGTGACTCTTTACTGTTTGTGGTTTTAATACTTAATGAAACAGATTTTAGATTTTAGACCAGTTTAGATATCTTGAGATTTAACCGTAAAATCCATAGTGATCCCCTGGGCTAAACTTTGATTCTGTCATCTTCAGAAGTAGTATGTTTTCCAAATGGGGCATATGAGCTCTTTGTTAGCAGAGTTTCTCCTTCGGTGGAAAATATTTCTTTTCCTTTGGGAGTGAGGGGTGGTTCACGTCCTGAAGAAAGTAGTTGTCTAATAAGTAATAGATAGTGCTGAGTCTTCTGTCACTTCACATGCTTTTTTAGGGCTAATTTTCTAATTTCCCCCAGCATCTATTTGCCGTGAGGCTACTCTTGGCTGCTTTTACTAGAACAAAGGCTAAACTCCTTTGTCTCATTCTTGCTTCATTTGAGTTTAAAAAATATATTATTGCTTATAACTTGAGATGCTTGTCTTACTGAGTTCATCAAAACACTTAATTTTATTGTCTGTGTTTAGAGAACATTACATGTCATTAAGAGGAGACTGCTTTATAATTAAGAATTGCTTGGGTCTGCTTAATATAACTGCTTTTCTTTTACTGATTAAATGGGAATATTTCCAGACTGCTTTGATAGATTAAATAACAAGCTTATTTTTATTTTTGTGATCGTTGTATCTTCTTTCTCAAAGTTTTTCTGTGTATAATGCCTGTAGCTTCAGGTAAATTTCATACCAGAATAAGCTTTTATCTTCATTTCTCTATGTTCTTCTGGCCTTTGTAAACTTCCTTTTGAGCCTCTTTCAGCTCATTCAGGCTGGGGTTTTTTGTATCTGTGTTTTTCTGAGTAGTCTATTCCCAAGGTTTTTTTCATAGAATGAACAAGCTTGTAAATTTTGTCATCTTTTGTATTTTGTTTATTTCCAGTTGAGGATGGGCTTCCGTCTTTTATCAGGGCACCTATGTTTACTCCTAGAGTTTTCACTTGTCTTTGTATAGTGTCATCTTGTGAACCGTTCTGGTGGGACCATAATAGAGGCTGGATGCAGTCAGTGCACCTGAACCTCAGAGCTGTTAGCAGGATGAAAAATTTTCTTCTAACTTTTTGTGCATTAAAAAGTTCTCTACGGAAATGATTCTTTTTCAGTTAATTGCAGTTATCTTCTTTAACTCTTCCTTCAAACACTGAACTGCCTTTTGCAAATATCAGTTTATTCTGTACTTATTGACCTGTGAATCTGCAGATTTGATTTCTCTGTAGGCATATGAAGTGTCGGAATCATATAAAACATGACTATTAACAGCTTTTCATAATACTAATATTGGGACTTGCTTATTCTGTAGTCTCCAGTGGCAGGTAGTATCTTTCCCCCACACCTACAGAGGTCATTTTTTGTGCAGAGTGAGTTTATTTTGGGTTTCTCTGGAAAAGTGACTGGATGCTTGCAGTTCAGTTGGGACCCATGTCCATGTTTCCGGTCTGTGCACATCCTGATACTTGCTTCTGGTGACATAAAGGCAGCTGCGCTGACTGGTTACTGCAGTTGGGGTCTAATTTGTACATATCCCTAGGGTGCCAGCCATTTTACAGTAGATTCCAATGTAAGAAACTCATTGAACTTTAGGTCAGTATACCTGAGCATCCAGAATTTTAAAAAAAATTCCTTTTTCTCTAATGATTTTCTGAAAGCATATTTATTTCTACTTTTTTAAGTTTAGTTTTTCATTTCTATACGAATGTAGTACAACCCCCTTTTTTGGTTGGCTTAAGAAAGTTGTGATCTAAAATTCTGAAGATAATGTATTCATATTTGATCATGTTGTTTCCCAAACTCTTTTTGTTCTTTATTATTTTGCTAATACATTTATTGTCCACCCACAAAAAGACATTTGAAGAGGGATCTCATAATGCAGAGGAACAAGAACATGCAATATATTTTCCTCATGGAGAGCTCCTTGTTTCTATTCCCAAATGTAGCTCTTACGGTCTTTATTACTTCTCATTGCTCCTGTTTTCTGAATCTAAGTAAGTCCTACCCTATCTTTCTCTCTCTTCTTTTCTTTCGTGTGTTCTTGTAAGTAAGACTGAAGAGAGAAGAACATTAGTTCTTTCATATAAAGAAGGATGAAGTCACAACTAGACGCAAGATTAGTCAGTTTTGTCTGCCCAGTTTTGAGAGCTACCTCTGGGAAAAGAAAAGGGTCTTTTGTACGGTGAGTAATCCCTTTTAACTATATAATTTATTTTATATCGTAAATGGGGAAAATCATAAAAATTTTGCATAGGATACTTTGGAAATGTCAATTTTTAGAAGTCTGAGAAATTATTAAAATACTAGAGAAATTGATAAGCTGGCTGCTGTGTAGGAAACAGGAAAGATACAACCAACAAAGAAGGCAAAAGAAATAACCAAAGAGAAAGATGGCCACACAGCCCAAACCAGAAAGTGTTTGTGTCACTCTTACAGGTGGCTCTTCTGCAGCAGGTTCTGTGTTTTGCTCACTGTTTATTTGCTCATTCAGTCCTTCACTTACAAGAGGATATATTTGAAAGAAAGGTAATTTCTGCAAAGTTGTGGTATCTGAAGATGTAACGTAACCATTTCCATTTTTATTCTTTTTCTTTTTTTCCCTTAGAATGCTGATTTGGATAAAATAGAGTTTAGGCTGTATTTATTCTTAAATTTATTTTTATAATTTTACTGTCTGAGGAAGCTTCTACATTTTGCATTCTCTTCTCTCTTGGTTCCTTAATTCATTACCTTCCCTGCTAGTTTATCCTTAGTGGGGAAGTTTATTGAGTAACCTGACTGTGCAAAATTTGGTAGATAATAAAAACATTTGGGGCTCAAGTAGAGGCTAGCATTGTGTTTGTTACCTGGTAAAGCACCTGGTTTAAACTGAAAACTAAAATATTGGTTATTTGGCAAGAGATTAGTTAGTAAGCCCCTAATTTCAATGAGAATTTGTGTTTCAAAAATGGAGATGAGTCCAATGATATTAAGATTTAAAGTTACAACTTGGGCAGTGTAATACATTTCAGCATTACTGCAGTAGAGCAATACTAAAATCTTGATGGACTGGTTCTATCCTGAGTGAACAATAAAAATGTTTTAGATGTGCTTGCCAATTGAAGGTTGTAAATTAAAATAAGGGACAAGCAATAAAGTCATACTCTGGTACATAAAAAGATATTGTTAAATTGTTATGTAAACGGCAGAACATTATATTTTACTCCTCTGTACCTACATGTGAAGGGTATATTATAGAAAGACAAGTTCATGAGGTATAACAGCTAGTTAGTCTAAACTTGTTACATGTGTGGCATGCTTTGAGGTGACACCATTGTCCTTTTTGTGAAGATATGCTATATCTAGACTGATCAATCTGTACATTTTACTTGACTCTTACTAATTATTTCTGTTATTTTTAGAACAAGAATTCCAAGTGAATTGCTTTACCTGGATTTGTATTAATTTTTATTTTCAGGATGCCAAGAAATACTCTCTTCTTCAGGAGTGAACCTAAAACTACCATAAATAAATTTCATTTATTTCTCAACCTGTATTTCAGATACTCAGACCCAGTGAGAGCATAACTGTGACTATTAGGAGTAAAGTCTAATTGTTGTGTATTAATTCTTTCTTCCTCTGATCAAATTCCAGGCTGTCAGGATATCGCAGATGAGTTCAGAGCACAGGAGATTGATGGACAGGCCCTTCTCTTGCTAAAAGAAGACCATCTTATGAGTGCAATGAATATCAAGCTCGGCCCAGCCCTGAAGATCTGTGCACGCATCAACTCTCTGAAGGAATCTTAACAGGATCATGAGGCTTTGAGATAACAGTTTTACTCTTCTTAAATGAACTTGTAAGGTAAAGGCTCAGGTTGGCCTAGAATATTATCACTTACTGTGGTGAATAGCCAAGCACATTGGGATCTCCACATCAAAAGCTGACATTTCTTCTACAGATATAATAATTCATCGTACATTTTCATAATTAGCCAACATCGATGAAATTAATTTTACAGGTTACACAACATTGAAAGACTTGTTATAGAGGGCCATGATATTTTTCAAAGAAGCGTGTTATAGTAGACACTTTTTTAAAAAGTAATGTTTATCATTAATATAAAGAATCCTTTTTAAAGTAATTTAATGATTTACATTTCTCCTCTTTTGATCCATTTTTGTTATACATTTTTCTATGCTCTAAGTTTTCCATAGGTTGTAATGAGAGATAATTTAGGAATAATTTAGGAGTCCAGTGACTGGAATTGTATGCCATGAGATATCAGTGTGCATTAAAAAAAAAAAAATGTTAGAAAGTTGCTTTGTCTATAAAAAAGGATTGCATTGTAGCAAGAATAGTACTCACCTGGAAGTCAGAAGAGTTGGTTTCTATTCCAAACTTGACCAAGAGTTTGGTGTAGTTGAAAAAGTTTTCCTCTTAGTTTTTGTAGAGCAGTGGTTCTCCCAGAGATGAGTGTTTCGTATGTGTGGGTTTTTTTTTAATTAAAAAAATATGTTTTTATTGATTTTAGAGAGAGAGGAAGGGAGAGAGAGAGAAACATTGATGTGAGAGCAGGACATCGATCAGCTGCCTCCTGCGCACCCCTTACTGGGAATCAAACTAGCGACCTCTTGGTGCGAGAGTTGACGCTCAACCACTTAGCCACACCTGTGGCGCCTGGAGGTCAGTTTTGCTGCCCAGGGGACATTTTGGTTGTCGTAGCTTGGGGGGTGTGGGAGGGTTGCTATCAGTATCTAACACATGGAGGACAGGGATATTGCTGTATATCTTACAATGCACGGTATAGCTCTCCATAACAGAGTTATGTGGTCCAAAATGTCAGTAGTGCCAAGGTTGAGAAACTGATGTAAGAGTGATAAATGTTTCTCTTTTTTACCCAAAGGGATACATTATACAATGGAAGTATATTAGACAGCATCAGTATCCTGGTGAAGTATTTTTCTCAGTGTATGCACACTAGAAAAAGGGGGGGAAATCCATTAAATTGGCCGGTAAAATAAGGACAGCATACAAATAATTTGACTCAGAAGACATTGATTCATATTATCTTTCATATCTCTCTGCTCCTCTGTACTAATTAAGGCATAATCTGATTATACCTTATGAACCAGTGTACATAGAACCTTTGCTGACAAGGCAATAGTTTGTGGCAGATATATGTATTTGGTCTTTGGAGTTTTTCTGATGTTGAACATGCTGGGTCTAGCTAGAAAGCGTATTCCTTTTTCCTGACTAAACCCTTGCATGCCTCCTGCAAAGCACTTACCAAGTGATATCTCTTGGAGAGTGAGATCTCATTTTATACGGACATGTTTTAGAGGAAAATTTTTAAAGCAAAACCTTTCACTGAACGCTTAGTGATCTCCTAGAATGACACTAAAACAAAATAATTATGGGAGCCCTGAGAGCTTTATAGTCCTGGACATCAAAAATTTGTTTTAATCTTTTTTTTAATCTTTACCATACAATGGAAATGTTTTAGTAACTGACGGAACACACATAGATATTTGGCAAAAGTGGGGAAGAGTCCATGGGTTTCAGTCATTGTCACTGCTCTTTTCAAAAAGATTGTGTTGAGCTAGTAAAAGACTAAAGATGTCATTAAAGACATCACAGATATTTATCTTTTGGCTTTGTGTACATTAGAGAATGTTGATTATTTTTATACAAAAATACAGCGGGTAATTTTTTTAATCTTTAGATGCCTCTTGTTTGAATGTATGCTTTGTGGGATTCTTTTGTGTAGTAATGTTTTAAAAAATGATGTTTACTGATAGTTGCGTGTAGGATTAGAATGTGTAATATAGTGTAAGGCTCATGTTCCAGACCTACGATAGCTTGTAATCCACGTTACATATTTCTTTATATCACATTTTTAATTATTGGATTAAAGTTTCAAGGAAAGGTAGGTACTCTAGTAAACTTTCACTTATTAGCATTTAATCATTGTGACAGAGTTGTCATATGCTTGACTTTCCCCCTCATGTTGCAATTTCAGAACACAAGTACAGGCTAGACAGTAGTGGGAGATGGTTCACTGTTCGGCGGTAGGGGCACAAACAAAAATCTCCCTTGGAATTAAAACTTTATCATAGAAAATCCACAAACAATTAGTATAAAATTATTTGGGGACAGATTCCCCTTGCAATAATGATTGCTTCCCATAACTATATTATCTTTACCTTTAAGGTGCTAGCTTTGAACTGTTATAGGTTCTTTTATTTACACCCTCTTCTAATAGCAGTCATGATGTACTTACTAAAGCCCCTGTGCCTAGCACTGTGTTAAGTATACAAGAAAGCTTACAAGAGGGGTTTCCACTGAGAGCGCCTTACAATCTTAAGTCTTTTAATAATAATCTGAAGATTAAGTTCAGATTTTCTGTTGTCCCCACTCGAAACATACCAGAAAATATACCTGTGTTCTTCAAGTGAGTCATTTTATTTAGAAATGGCTCATTTGCTTTTAGTTGGTTGTTCTGACCTTTGATGCAGCTATTTCTCTCAAGATGATTAAACCATCTTAATTTCAGTTACACATAGTGGGTATAGATGATGACACTGGGTGTCCCCCTCTCCCCTGAGCTTTATAAGCAGTTTTAATATGATACAGGTGGGAAGAGTGCTATTATTTTCATTTTCCTTCACATAACTGTTTTAGGATTTTGATTGAGGACAGGGAATGACAGGCAGAAAGGGGATATGGGAAGTTCTTCTGACTTTTGCTACTTAGGTTTGCATTTTCTGACTTGTTTAAACTGATGCACTCTTTTTCCATTGAGGGGAAAAAACCCTACACGTTTGAAATTTTATTTGCTTTAAGCCGTGTGTTCTAAGAAAAGCTGAGAGAGAGAGCTGGTTTGTAAAAATTATTTTTTACATGATGTGGATTTTCATCAAACCTTGTATAGGGATGTGTGTGACACAGCTATGCAGCTTTGATGGAATCAGTATAGTATGAGACAGACTGCTGTCCCCATACCTGTCACTTTTTAAGTGGCATCTAGCTATTTCCAAGATGGTACTTTTAATTTGCTGTGGCATCCTCTAAACAGACATTTTTAAAGTCCCACTTTAAGGGCTGTCACCTAGAAGTAGAGAAGGTAGAATGGGAGAAAAGACATGTTAGTGAAGAAACGAGAATGCGAGAGAGGCCGACGAGACCTGCCGCTTGTTAGTTTATCCCACTTCAACACTGAACAAATGTCTGCACTTTTGAAGTTAATATTCATGTTTTACCTAGTTTTAAATAGAAATGATTTTAAGTAGTCCACTGTATGAAATAAGTATTGTTATGCCCATGCCTTTGAATAATTTTTTTTTTTAATATATCTTTATTGATTTCAGAGAGAGGAAAGGAGAGGGACGGAGGGAGACAGAGAGAAACATCAATGATGAGAGAGTCTTTGATCCGCTGCCTCCTGCACGCCCCCGACTGGGGATCGAGCCCGCAACCCGGGCATGCGCCCTGATCGGGAATCGAACCCCGATCTCCTGGATCCTAGGCCCACGCTCAACTGCTGAGCCACACCCTGCTGGGCGAATAATTTTTGACATAGCTAATCTTCATATATCCAGTGTGAAATTATAGTCAGACATTTCTTCAGGTACCAGTCTTAGATTGAAATGTCATAGTGCCTCATATCACTGATGTGTTCAATTAAATGTTAAGTCCCACTATTGGCATTTGCAGGGTGTTGGTATCACCATGGCACAAACGTGGTAGGGCAGTATATAGATTGTATACTCTTAGGTTGTCAAAAACTCAAAGGTTAATCGTTATAATTGTTATCAGAATTGAGTATACTTTCAGATGCCACGATTGAATCAATCTTATAGATTTTTATAAAGAAAAGCATTTTTAAGGTCGTATTTTATTTGCTAGGTTGTGTCTCAGACTAAGAATTGGATGACTAAGAGCTATAAGTTTCTCTTCATCAGTGTGGATTTCAGTTAACACAAGCCTACCTCTATTTTTTGATGCACAGTAGTGCGGATCATGAAATAAACTGTTTAATTCACATTCATCAATATTGGTATTTTATGGATCTATGTAGAACATTTGATTTCATCTTAAGGATTGCGATTCAATTTAGATAAGCACAAATGCAGTATTAGGAAAAGAAAATATGCAATTTTACTAAAATTTAATTTCAGCCTATTAAAAGCTGTATATCTTTAAAAGAATTCTTTGGGAAGATATTTCTCTTTTGTTAGAAGTTCAGAAAATGTATCACTATATAATTTCCTTCAGAGCAGCAATACAAGCCATTACATCAATAAAAAGAGTTAAAAATTATATTATCTTCTTTGAAAAAAGTTTCCTAAATTTTTAAGAATTCTAAAATTTTACATATTATTTTTTAGAGCTTATTTAATCTAGCTTAAAATAATGCTGTGAGAAAGTTCTGAAATTTGTAAAGCACTAATAGGATGGTAGTTATTACCATCATATACCAGAACAAAATGTTTGGCTTCTGAACTTTCACTTTAGTACACATACATTAAAAGCGAGAGACCTCTCTCCTTTCCAGATCTGAAGCCCAGCTTCTCTAATGAAGATCGTCCCATTCTACTTTAACACATGAACCTTTTAAGTGCCATGTTTATGGAACCTTTTGAGAAATGTTTTCTATGAATGTTTTCTCCCTTTTTATAGCTTATGGACATTTAATTTTATTTAAAGATGACAATTTTTATCTCAGATGTTAGAGAGGAGGTACACTAGAAAAATACTTTTTCCTACTATTTTTGAAAAGTACAATTGCTCTCAGTGATACTGGTGGCGTAAATATGAATCCATAGAAAGAAAACCTGTGCAAAGGTTTTTAAATGTATTGTCTAAAAGAAAGTATAGAATGAATCTTAATTTGGAAAAAAGAAATCAATATAAATGTAAAAGTTATGCTAACATGGCATGGTTTTAAATTTAAGAGTGATATAGTAAGTCCTTTTAGACTACCTATTCATAGACTCCAGTGATCTTCTTAAGGACTGATAGTAGCCATCATTATTGGCTTAAGTTATACTTTAGGGAATATTATCAGTGTTAAATCCATGTTTTTTGGAGCTTTAATTGATGGAGGTGAAGAAATTGGTGTTTCTGAGGGTGATGGGGCTGGTAGTGAAATATAAACATCAACCTACTTTAGAAAGGAACTTTTTAGTCTTGCCTCAAGCAAACCAGAAGTATCCATTGCTTAAAATTTGTTTAGAATGGCTTAAAAGTCATAATTCTTTTTGTTTCAGATAGTACTAAATAAATAATCTACTTTAATAGTTAATAGATGAACATAATCATTAAATATGACAAATGACTGAGGTTCTACATCAGTTGGAATAGCTGTGTGTGACACCCTAGGCAGTTACTGCCTTTTAACCTGTTCCTCTCCCGAGTATGTAAGTGTGGAGTCTGTACTACTCAAAGTGCTGATTTTGGTTTATCACCTCTGAGGTTCCTCCCAGCTCTGCAACTATGATCCTGGCCACATGACGAGGTGTATTTCAGTTGCTCCTACTTAATTCTCATTCCCTTTTTAACAGTTCATGTTACACTTCAGAGCTATTGCTAAGATAATTATTTATTAAACATTATTTCCTGGGTCACCTAGTCTTTGTTGTCCTAAGGAACAAGGCAGAAAATTCAAACAGACAAGCAAATGAGGACATTTTTCTAAATGCTTCTTGCGCGTTACCCATGGAATATGTGAGCACATGAACATCATTCGTGCGTTTATCCATTCATTTTGCAAACCGTTGGAACACTTACAGTGTGTGGTATACATCATAAGGAACTAGTAAACAGTTTTGTTCCCAAACAAAATTTTGATTGTAGTTTAAACAGACATGGACATAATTATTACTTAATGTACTGAATGTGAAGTTGGAACTGAGGGAACTTTTGTATGCTTTGGGGGAAGGATTAGGCTAGATGACAGCTAAAGGGTCTGAGTGAATCACATCAAGTCCTACAATATTTCACAGACTAAACATCAATCAGTCATATACCTGATTACGTTATAAAATTAAGGGTATTAACATTAAGGATATCTATTTCAAGACTGTGTAACAGCCCCTATTTCTAAGAACTATTTTCACACTGGCATCTATTCCAGAGGTGTTGCTATGCGGGGTGTGTGACAGAACAAGACAAAGAAGCTGGTGCTTACTATACATTTTTAACTACAAAAGCTTTACACCCAGTACTGACAATGCAGTAACTGTCTAAAACTGAAAAATCTCAAAGGAGATTACTGAACAGGTTTGTTTTTTATTTTGTTTGGGTTTTTGTTTATTTTTAAAGCAAGAAAGACTACATAAAATAAATTTCATTACAAATATCGACTTTTTAGAAAGCACACATTATACAGTAAAAGGGTTTCCTTTAAAATGTAGAACTAGTAAACATAAAAGAGTTCCATGTTTAAACTGACAGGTATTTGAGGAGCAAGCATTGAATGGGATCATTTATTAACTGGGTCGAGATTCCTTACCACTTGAGGATTCTGTGAATTACACTGTAATTCCTACTGACACAGCTTTACATAGTAACATTGCTTGATACTAACATTCTCTATAAAAATAAAAAATGAAAATAACTAATATTAAAGAGACCTTTTACGCATCATAGTCACAGCTTCTTAAAGCAGGAAAATGTCCACATGTTGGATTAGAATCTTTAACAAATTGATTAAAGAAGGAACACTAACATCCAAGTCACCAATAGACTGGGTTACATTTTTTTTCCATGGCACTGTTTAAAATTTAATTTTAAGATGTTTTGATTTACCCAATTTTAAAAATATTTTATGCTGTTAAAATATATATTGCTTAAATATTGTTTATATACATATTAAAAATTTTAAAGTGAGTGGAGTATGCAAGGATGGTGTAATTTTGGATATCTGACTTCTGAAACGTTTAACCAGATTCCCAATCACCTTTTTATTTAAGAGCTTTTTGTTTTTTTAGTAGGGAAAAAAAGTGAAAGTAGGTTCCAGAAACTATCCTCAGAGCCAGGAGTGAGCTTGTGCTGAGGGTTGGGGTTGTAGGCAGCAGTGTGCAGGACGGATGCCGACACTGATGACAGGCATTTCAGGCCTCTTTGCTGAATTAGTGCTTTTTGTCTTGCTTGTTAATTTGTTGTTGTAGATTTAACAAAGGCAAATTGTTGTGATAAATTAGTTTTTAAAAAATATTAATTTTTGATGCTTCAAACACATGATAATTGACTTTTTTTATTCCTCCTTTTGGTTCCTCACATTGTTCTAAAATAGGACTTTCATATTATTAAAACCTCAAAAACTGACCCACCCCGAATGAACAAAGCATCACAAGGGGAAAAACATTTTTTATCTTTATAGGAAACAAATGTTAAGATTATATATAGATGTATTCTTTACATTGGATATTGTATTAGAGTCCTCCTTACAGGAAATTAAATAGTTTTAGCATTCTTAGCATTAGTGTTCCTAGATTGGTGTCTATAGCTACAGGTTTCAAACGTATAACCTGAAAATGAAGTTAATTTTGCGTTATAAGAGCACACCACGATCTATGTAAAAAGATTGTCCATTTGGTGTATTTTTTTAAAAAAGAGAAGGCACTTTCATATTAACACGTAGCATGTACGTTAATTTTAGATTTTCATATTTGTTGTGTCTGTACTCAGTGAAGTAAAACTAAGCATTCAGACGTTTGTTGATGGCAACATTAACCATTAAATTAAAGCACCTTATGCTCTGCTGCTTAAACTTGCTTGTAATTGCACCTTTGTTACCTGCACATTTTCACAGAGAATATTGTTGTAACATTGCTTCATGTGGGTCTGGATGGAAGGTTAGTGGGCCTACAGGATCATTTATTTATATTGTTTATAATTCAATAATATATTGTAGACCAGCTGTTAAGTTCATTTCTTTGCAAATAAAAGCCTCTTCCATTTGGCTGGTCTATTGAATACTTTCTTTTTTTCTTTAAGCTTATGAGGTATGGGTAGTACACTAAGTGAACAACAAAAAAGCTTAATAAAGAGTTCGAAAAGTTACACATTTTCCTGACTTAAAATATGCAGAGTTTAAATCTCTACTAATTAAGTACAATATTTTTTAAAATATACTAGTCCCATGTTATGGCCAATTAGAAAGCGATTACGTTCATAGGAAAGTAGCAGAGAAGTGAGAGGGCCGGGTTTAGATACTGACACATTAGATAATGTCTGTGTAGTTCAACTTAATTCACAAAGTGACCAGATTATTCGCCATTCAGATTCCTTTATTCCAGTAGTTCTCAGCCAGGGGCAGTTGTGCCCACCACGGGAGGGTAGGAATGCTGCTAACACCCCACAATGCACAGGGCAGTCTCCCCAAACAATTACCTAACCCAAAATAGCAGTAGTGCTGAGGATGAGAAACCCTACTTTACTTTTACAGCGTGATATGTTGCCAATGTAATATGCTTTGACATTTCAAGTTACATATAAGTTATAACTGAAAATGAATTTAGCACATCATGGAAAGAGACCTAGTCACTACTCCCAGTTCTGTAAGTTAAGCAGCCAAAACTCTGCTTCCAGAAATATTTACATTTAGAACAGAGAGATATTTTTTTTAAATTAGCTAAATTTAAATTGAGCTAATCTTCCCCTTATGTTAAAGAATAGTTATACCAAATCACTTTAAGAAAATGATCTTGATTTTCTTGCTCTGAATTTAATAAAAATGTTTATTTAAGTTTATATCAAAGTTGGCAGCAAATCTCAGATTTACATAGCAGTTTGCATCCAGAAGCTTTCTGGATAAAACAAACATCAGTATGGCCAAATGTTAACTCATTTCACTTTTATGTTAATATCTGTAACATGCAATTTTTCTGAACAGGTATAAAATTTTCTCTTGCAATTATTGTGTGAAAAAACAAACAAAAAGAGAAATAATATCACAGCCCTAAAATACACATTTTGTAAAAGTATGAACATTGGAGGGGGGGGCGCGGCGTGGCTGAGGGAGGCTTCAGTTCAGTTCAGTTCAGTCTCTGTGTGTCCTGAGTCGTCATTCTTCCGTTTTGTAAAGTTATGATTCTTACTTCAGTTGTAAGTTTTAACCATGGCAACACATTAACAAGTTATTATTGATATAGGCTTTTCAATTTGCTCAATATTATGAATTGCAAGTGGAATGAAGCAGCATTTCCAGTTCACAAATGGATCCACAGGTAATGCGATATCTCTTAAACTAAGCTTGTGACAATTAAACCAGAAAACTGTAGCAATGATAAAACTATTGACAAAGTACAACCATGGAATGTTCATCTCAATATATGCTGGAATCTGTACTTTAAATAAAAGGGTAATTATTTGAAGCAGTACAAATGGTAACCAGGTACCGAGAAAACAAACAATGAACTTGGGCAAGAGTGTTTTTTTAGAGCTCACAGTATAATTAGAGTGAGAGGAAAAGGGAAAATATAGGACAGTCTCATTCATATAGGAAGTTATCCTAATAGCCTGTACCAAGGTAGTAACTTCTGACCAAGAGGTTATAAAAGCCATCAATAAAATCATCACCATGGAAAATGACAGCCAGTAACTTTGAATGCTGACGTAGAAAGGACACTGATAAGAATAAACATTTTGTGCATTCAGGTTTTGGTAGATAGCTGGATCTCCCAAAACATAAGCAAAGACTGAAATCCAAATTAAAACGACTATAAAGAAGTAAAATAATTTCTGACACTTAAATGGAAAGTTGGCTTTAGAAAAATTCAGATGATAATCTATATAAGCTACCAGGAAAATGGGATAATGCAGAAAGCCGTAAGTAAAAGAAATAATTTGAGTAAACAAGCAGATGTGGTATTTAGTAAACCTAATGCCTAAAAGTACAAAATCCCTGAAATAGGATATAATGGAAATGTTTACCAAAAGTAAAAGATCAACGAATGCTAGTGAAATGCAAAAATAGTCCATAAAATTTTGACAGGTGTTTTTTCTTCTCATTCCCAGTGTGAGGATATTTAGTATTATTTTCCCAAGTATAATCAAGACTAGCAAACAGTTACCATCTAAGGGCTGACTTGTTTGATGTAACTGGTACTGAGAAGAGCAGTTCTCTGAAGAAAGAGCAGTCATACTTTTAGTTAAACTTCAGAAGGCCTGCTGAAGTACATCCGAGAAAACACTGCTTTGCTTTATTTTCCATCCCTGCAAAGAAAAGTGAAAAAATCTTGATGCTATCTTGATTCTCTCTCTACTTTAAAACTTTACAAAACAAGCACTACAATTCTCAAAATCTAATTTAATCCAATCATATCCACAAATAATTACATGTATTAAATAGGAATTTATATTTCTCATAAAACATAGAGAATGGAATATGATGAAGAATTAATATGTATACTTTGGTGATTTTTGGAGACCCAGATCATTCAGAATTCTCAGATCTATAACCAAAATTTTATATATAAATTACTAAAACTTCCATATAAATACAAGTTTTAATAACTTGTAGAAAGATAAAATACTTTTACTACTGGAGTGAAAACACAGGCTTAAAATCGCAGCCTGCAGATAATACAGGAACAATTACAGCTGTTGACCAAGTCTCACTCTGACTCGATAATATCACCTCACCCGTCCCCCCTTTCATCTTTCTGTCAGTGAAAGAGGCTCTCAAGTTAGAAGCTAAGACTGTTTTCACTCCACCTTTTCTGCACTTGTTCAATGCTAAGCCTTATGAATTTGTTACATGTTTAAAAAATAATACAAATTCCCACAATATGTTTAATTAAATGAATTGCAGATTACAAAATTACATCATTCTTTTTAAAGACATTATACATGTACTGAAAAAACTTAAAAGGTACATATTGACTTATTACTATGGTAGTATTATAGGTCTTTTTGAGTTTCTCAACTTTTAAGGAAAAAAGTTAGGAAATATCAAGTATAAAACGTGAAAATAATTTGTTGAAAAGCAGATAACTGATTAAATAATTTCAAAGGAGTAATGAGGATAATGATACTGCCTGAAGGGAACGAATTCAGTGTGGGAGGAGGTTATCAGTTCTGCCGACAGAACGCATCCTAACTGGACAAAGCATCTTGTGATTGAGGAGAGGCCCTGATATTTGAGCTTCTGTGCTCATCTTTCCATTGTCCAGTTTTAGCAAGAGTCCTGCTAAGTCAGGTTACCCAGCATCTCTCACCCTCCATATCTGATCAGGTTCCTCATCCCTTGCCATGCCCCAGGTGGTGTCCAATCGCCCTGACCAGCCTTCAGCAAGAAGCCTGCGAGGGTTTAGACAGAGTCCCCTCTGACCCCTGATGTTTCCTTAGTAATATTCCATCCACTGACCCCCCCCACCTTGCTCCTTGGCTATCTATAAATTCCCACTTGTATTTGGAGTTGAGCCCCATCTCTTCCTGTCATTGCAGAACCGCATCACCGCGGTCCCTACACCTATCGCAGTGGTCCTGAATGGCTCTGCCTTACCATTCTTCAACAAGGGTCGTGAATAATTTTTTCTTTAACATACTCTGATGGCCATAAATACACCAATGTCATAAATTCACTTATTAGGGAACACAAATAATGTATCTATTTACACACACATGTGTATATCTAAAAACAGTTAAAAAGTCATTTAATACCCATATTTATAACTATCGGTGAAAAAACCAATGAAACAAGTTTTCTGTACAAATTTTTTTCTATGCTCAAATATACCATGTAGTTTAACGTGACCCTCTAGTGAGAAAGCTCCATTCCAGGTTTGATATGCAATACACAAGGGCATGGACTCACGGTGAACACCTTGACAAAGGCCGCAGGCTTCGTCAGTGGCGGTGCTTGACTAAGGAAGCACAGAGGGGATGACAAGACCATGTGATGCCCTCCTGTGCCAAGGAACAAACAGGCTTAGCTTTAAATGGCGAATGTTGGTTTGGAATGGAGGTGAGGAAGGGAAATAGTGTGGACTCATATTTATGAAGACCCAGTTTTTAAAAAAAGGTACATCTTTAGTATAAAGTTAAAAAAGAATTATCTGTATAAAATGATTTTATCCTTAATAACTCCTATGCAAGATGTAATGAGCAAAGCTAGGGAATCCACGTTTAAGACGGCAACATGCAAGGGCCGCTTCCTGTTTCCATTTCATCGCAGACTCACGGTGGGGCCAGGTGGGAGGCCAGCAAAGCAGGCTGCTGCCTGGCGGAGTCTCCTTGGGCTGAGTGAGCAAAGGTGCAGGAAGCGGAGGAAGAGGAGGGTCGGCTGCCGTCCCCAAGGCAGTAACCAGGCCGCTCTTAGAGGACTGGAAGAGACGACAGAACAAACCTGAGCTGGACCACACCAGGGACCGTAAAGCTGGAAGAAACCTGAAGAGGCGAAGGAGAAAAGGCCCAGGCGAGATGCGCAACTTGAGGCAATAAAAGCAGTGGAAGGGAGCTTTGGCAGTTTTACACTGGTTCCTGAAGATCATCATGGAAACCAAAACTTTCTGAGGTGACATCAACTTTATACGCCAGGTCCTCAATAAACCACTGAAAGTAATCAAAACGCCAACATTTTGTTCTTTAAACAATGCCCCCAGGACAAGGAAAAAACCTCTGACAGGCTACCCGTCCCCAAAAATGTTAACATTCACTCCAGAGATTCAGAGATTTATAAGACACAGTTCCTCTCCTAATTTTTTTAACCAATGGATCAACTCAACGTTACTGTGAAAGTCCTTTTCAAGGCCCCTTTGGGCTTGCCTGTGATCTGCCCAGTTTAGAAGTATTAGCAGGGCCTGAAGGAAACAAACCATGATTTATTTTCACAGACCCAGTCTCTGCTTTTCTACTTACTAAGAACCCAATTCTTAACAACATACCATACTCACTCTGCTTTCTCCAGCAGGTCTTTCTCGGCTGATGATCTTCCTATTTTATTTCAATTTGGCGCCTTCAATTATCTTACTTTTGGTTTCTGACGTGCCAAAATGTCACATGAATAAACTCTGTGTGAAGATGAAAACAGAAATAACCATCATTAATAGCTATCTTAGTAACTGGAGTTCAATACTGGCGCCAGATCTCTGTTTAGAAAAACTGTAACTTGCTGTGGGATTAGAGCCAGTAAGTAATTGCTTATAATCTTTTTTCCCAGCAAAAGGAAGAAAGGGGATACTTAGTTTGAAAGCCCACCAGACCCTGAGATGTGGGTGCATATAACATGGCATCTATTTGAAGAAGTCTTGCTTACACCGCAGTTTTCCTACAGGCTTCGGAGTCTAACTCAGCAGTTCTCATAGTTCAGTTACAGGACCTTCTGACACTCATTGCATGTTAACATAAGTAACGTTTTTTAAAATGAAAAATTACTATGTTCTCCGATACCAAAAAATTGAATGAGCGAAGTGGCATTGTTTCACATCTCACAAATTGTCTGGCTCCATAGCAGAAGGCTAAAATCTCATCTATATGAATCAGGCATGGTATCACACTTCATGTAGCTTTTGGAAAGTCCTCTGTACATTCATGAGTTTGAGAGTAAAAAAAAAAAAACCTTTTAAAAAACGGGTAATAAGCTTAATAACTTCACAGTACTATAATCAAATAGTTGTGTTATGCAATCTCAGAAAAGTTTAACAAAACCATGTGCATGAAACAGTAGGACGGGAGGGGGAATGAAGTTAACATTCTGGTGAACTACCGTAGAGAACATGAAATTAGCATGGTAGCTGGATTTGCTGATCCTGAATCGAGAAAGCCTACAGGAGAAATAATGTACTGAGCCTCTCCAGGGGTTTTACATACCTTTCATCTTAATCCTTAGAGCAATCATGAAGGTATGTATTATTTTTCCCCGGGAGGAAAAGGGCTCGGGGTTAACAAGCATGTTTCCTGAGGTTGCATGACTGGTAAGTGTTGGAGCTGAAGTGCAGTCTCAGGTCTGATTTCAAAGATCACGATCTTCAGTAAGCCTCAATTACGGCTCCACTCACAACTAGAAACGTAGGACCAATTCACATACGTGAAAGAGCTTCCCAAAAAGGTAATATCCAATTGAAGTGACTGTTGATTCCTGGTACTCAAAGGACCATAACTAACTGATTTGTATAATGTAATTTTATTCCTCTAACAGGTAAATATAATTTTTTAAAATGTGGTCTGTGCTCGATATGCCAAAATTCAGTGGAAAAAATAAAATGGCATTCAGTTGCCCGACAACTTTTAAAGAAATCGATGTTTTCTCATTCATTCACATAGTATAATTAGATTCAATATATAAAATTAAGAAAATACAAGAACTTTTTATTTAAGCTTTAAAAGGTAATGGAAATTTAACAGGTAATATTAATTTACATAGTCTAAAACTCAAGTTACAGGAAGTGTATACAGTGAAAATAACTCATCCTACCCACTCAAAACCTCTCAGCTGCACTCATCACTATCCAGTCCCTCCCTAGGTAAAACCAGGGTTACCAGTTACTTGTGTAGCTTCCAGAGAAATCTTAAAGCAGGGTTTTAAAAAGAAAATCATTGTTACCAGTTACTTGTTTTTAATTTTTATTTTTGTTCAAAATATTACAGATGTCCCTTTTTCTCCCCAGTGACCCATTCTACCCCACCCCACCTCCCTCCCCAGTCCCTCTCCCCACCATTGTCCGTGTCCTTGGGTTGTGCATATATACATATAAGTTCTTTGGTTACTCTCTCCCCCTCACCCACCCACCCTCCTCCATCTCTCTGACATTTGTCAGTCTGATTCATGCTTCCATGTCATTGAATCATTTCTGTTCATCAGATTATTAAGTTCTTTAGATTCCACACATAAGTGAGATTATGTGATGTCTTTCTCTGCCTGGCTTACTTCACTTAGCATAATATTCTCCAGGTCCTTCCACACTGTATTAGATAAACGTTTTCCGCAAGAAAGCTGTCTGAATTACGAGTCCCTATTATGTCAGTTTGTCTCCTCACTGGTGGTGTGAAGTTAGATCACCAAGTAAGGTGATCTGCCACATGTATCTATCGTGCCCGTGCCTTTTCCCTTTTGTAATCAATAAGTAACCTCCAGGGCAATACCTTGTTCTACAACAAAGTTTCACCAAACAGTTCCAGCATCCACTTACCATCCTTGCCTGAATCAATTACCATCTCAGGAATCACAAAACTGTGATTTTCTAATTCTATGGTTACTTCTGCTTTTACGAGCTGGCAATTTCCCCCCCGGGAAATATATTATGGATTCATGGACTTATTTTTACTGAGTGTGTTATAATCACTGCCACCCTTATTCTTTTGAAAGCCTAAATTTTCCAAACTCATCCTGTAAGAGTTCCTTCAAGCTGGCTCCTGGGCCCTCTTGACATTTCCCAGTCTTTAAACACTTGTTTGCAGAGCCACCCAATGACCTGATATTCCATCCTGGACTCTTACCTGTGAGAAATAAATGTGCTCGATTTGAGCCATTACATTTTTGGTCTATTTTTACAGCAATTGAGCCCATCCTACTTAATATGAAATACTTCTAATTGTTCTTTTTCACAGTCCTTCCCTCTTGCTGTGTATGTCCCTACTTCTATCACCACATTTTTATCCACTGTGAGCCTTCACTGTCTTTTTGCCTGCTCTCAGCCTCACATCAGTATTCTTAACCAGATCCCCAACTTATGGAAAGTGGTATTCTACATGTACACATATTACAGTTATCAATGGCTGGGCTACCTTGTGATTAACCATGGCCCAGGGGCTTCTCTTGCCAGGAACAGGAACAAAGCCAATCATTCTTCATTCTGAACTCCCTACTTACAAAATTAATTAGCCTTCATTTGACTTTGTGCAATTTGTAAGTACCCAACTTATCCAGGTTATTTGTACTCCTGTTTCTAGTATCTCTGGCATACAAACATACACAATACATCACTGGTCACGGATTAAAACTGATTAAATAGAACTGGGCCCCAGACTGACCTCTGAAAGGTTAACAGCTGTCCCATACCAACACTTTATCCTTGACAAGGCCTCTGTATGACCTTCCTGCTATCTATCTATGGAATTATATAAGTTAAACTGCGTTTCCTTGGGTCACTGATTACATATCCTTAATTAAGTCAATGGCATCCAAAAGTCAAGATATATGTGCCCTGCTTCCTCCAGATCTTTATGACGTTCTTGAGAAAATTAGGTTACACTGATACAATTCCGTTTTCCATACAGCCACCATTAATTTTTACCCAATGCCCTGTTTGCTTGCAAATTAATATTCTGGTGATGTATATTTTCATATAGCCCTCCCTCACAATGTTACTGTGTCTTCTTATTTACTGCAAATTATACATATATATTCAGTTCATCATTTTGGTGGGAACAGATAACTACTACAAGTACAATGTTCCGAATGAGGAGGAAAGGCATCCCATACTAGACATTCAGATTTTGCTACCAAATTTTAAGAAAGATATCAATAAGTAGGGATATGCCTAAAGAAGTCAATAAATATAGGAAAAGCTTATAAGAAAAATAGTTAAAGGGTTATAAGAATGGGAGTTGTTCAAAAGTAGGATGTGTAGTTTGGGAGCTAGTGTTTGCACCGCCATCAGAAATGTCCAAATACATATGCTTAGCAAACACGCTTACAAAAGAGGTTTAGTCTTCAAAGGACATACGAATTAGAGATTGTTTCCTAGTTCTCAATGGTTATCATCAACTTTAGTCTTGCACTTAAGCAAAGGAAGGAGTTTAAGCATACAGTGACCTAGAAAGCACCAATCAAATCTGCTCAGTAGTTCCTGAGGCCTCACTCGCAGTTCCAACCTACTGAACACTGCTCCTGGAATGATTTAGCAACCAGAGATAAAGACACCACTCAAGTTCAGTTGTTTGTTTATTCCAAAACCATGGTTCTGTTTGTCATATCTGAGAAAGTGAACCAGGCGAGTGACCTGAGGAAGATCCTTCTCTCGCCACCATACCATCTGGAATAGCCTCCCCAATCTACCAGGACCTAGTTCTCCCATGAGTCTTTGACAACAGCATCCCGGACCTGCGCCAAACTGTGAAGACAAGTATTATGTTTATCTAGTTAGAGGGTAATGTTTTGTACATTTCTGTATGAAGAAATGATGTAGCTTGCCCTGATTTTATTTTTGTATTTTGGGGGTTTTTTGGTCAGCTTCAATATATTTATGCCAGAATTTCAAACCAACAAGATTCTCTTCTTGTTCAAATGTACACTGAAGAACCACATTTATTCAATGATTGATGTTGCTTTGTGGTTATTTGTACACAAACCTTTTCTCAATTTTATAGACACAGAGATAAAATTAATATTAACAATTCACTTTAACCTTTTATTACCACAGTTGCTGTCTCCTCCAGAATTTTTGAATATTAATGAATTAACCATATACACTTTGCTAATATACACTCACCTATTTTGTTTCCATTCCCTTACGAATCGGAAAATACAACATACACATCTCCTCAGATCAATTTCTTTAAAGTATGAGACTGATGGTAGAAGTTTCAGAGATTAAGTTTTGGGGGACAGCAGGCAGGCCACTTAAGTCAAACAATTCTACCTAAATACATATGGTGCTGCCCAGCCTCTGTGGCTCAGTGGTTGAGTGTCAACCCATTAACCAATAGGTCACCAGCTCGATTCCTGGTCAGGACACATGCAAGGGTTGTGGGCGTGATCCCCAGTACGGGGTGTGCAAGAGGCAGCCAATCCAGGTTTCTCTCTCTCATCGATGTTTCTATCTATCCCTCTCCCTTCCTCTCTAAAAAAAAAAATTAAAAAATCAAAATTAAACACATACGGTGTTTTTTAGTTTATAAAATGTTATAAGGAGATTATCTAGTTCTACGTGTCTATATTATGCTCCTAAACCTACCTACCTTCCATGAAGGATGCCAAGATGTTCAAGTGTTAGAACTGAGGAATTATGTAATTTCCTGAATGAGGTGAGGAGAAATTGCCAACAGATGAAAAAGAGACAGTCACATGAACAAATAAAGGAAAACAAACCATGTGGTCATCTTGAAAGCTGCAGAAAAAGCTTTTGACAAAATTCAACACCCATTCAAGATAAAAACTTCTCAGCAAAGTAGAAATTGAGGGGAATTTCCGCAACTTGATAAAGAACCTATGAAAAATCTATAGCTGGTATCACATTTAATTATGAAATACTGACAACTTTC